TAATGTATTTCAGTGTTTTTCTAATATCAATCTCGCGTGATTTTTCTGTATTACTACCTAGTGAGATCTGCGAGAAACATTTCCAAAGCCTCATTTTCATAATTTTCACCAAATACGTTTCGGGAAACTTATTCACGAATAGGGTTTCTTCCACCGAAAGTGAACTTTCCAATTTCTTGATTCTCAAATAAAAGTCACATCAGTCAATTCAATAAATCGATAAACCTGACGTGTCTTCCCAATTTTTTTCATATAATTTACGCCAAGGAAGATGTTAACGATTTTAAATATGTACTACATAGTATTTATTTTATAACCGTATTTTGAATTCTTTCATAGATTTTTTGACAATAGGTTTGTAATTGTTATTGAATTTTTATACATATAAAATGAAAATATATCTTTGACAAGTTTCTTCCCCATTTCCAGCCCATTTACCCCATAGTATGAGGCAAAGTGTCTACTGTGCAAGGGTTGGAGAGATCTAAAACTTCAAAAGTATTATTCAAGAATTAAAGGGGTTATATTTTTAGGAGTGATTAATTTTTGGGAAAGAAAGTTTTTGGCTTTCTACAACTTCATCTTGATACAAAAAAGGGATGAGGGAAAGTAGCTGTTTCAAGAGGACTTTCTTTCAGTTTGTGTCTGAAAGTTACTTCTTTGCATGATCTACACATACATGTATAGAGTTACTTATTTTCAAATTGATTACTTCCTTCCCTTCTGTGGAAGATCTACACATTCATGTATAGAGTTACTTATTTTCAAATTGATTACTTCCTTCCCTTCTGTGGAAGATATAACTCATTCTAGAAAAATCACGCAAAAATTGGAATTGACTGACTTCGCCTGGGTTGTGATTAAAAATAGAAAGCAGCTTACCGAATCATGATTGTTGGTGATCAATATTATTTGACAGTTCAAGGTTTCTTGATTCGTTGTCTGGAATGATTTTTTTTTCGTATGTTACAAAAATATGCATATTGAAATTCAATCGATTTGTTTTCTAATTGACGTATTACTATGGCAACGTGTATAAAAGTTTTCTAATGAACGAGAAGGGTTAAAAGAATTATCGTCACCCTTCAATCGAGATATTATACGAGTGCGAGCTAGGCAAGCGATAAAATTAGAGAAATAGTAAGATAATTTTGAAGTGTAGTTTAATGGAGTGATTTTTTTTAAATTTTAGTAACCCTACCACATTATGATAGAATCCACCTTGACGTAATAATAATAAAAATTATTTATTTCCAGTCAGACAATTGTGTAGGAAGTGTCAATACAAAATACAAATTAAAAAAAAGGAAAGAAAAGGGAAAGACAGGCTCATACTCTAAAACTCATATGAAAATGAGTTATTCAAAGAATTTCTACAAAGCATAAAACCATTTTTCCAATGAATTATTCATTATTGATTTCTTGAACACAAAGAAACTATTCAAGACCGTTGAATGATCTGGAAGTTGGTTATATATCTTTAGTTCACATGATGTTACTTTAAATCTAGCTAAGGGATTTTAAATGGGGACTACGAAAAGAAACATTTGCTAAATCAATCTACCTCCTGACATCGAGATATGTAGAACAAAATTTGTTCAACTACAAAGCAAGTTAAATTAGAACAGAAACACGTTAAGTGAACCTAAATGGAGAGGGTTGCAATATAGCCCAAACGGCAGATTCGGGTGTCGAATCAAACCGCCCCTCCTGTCCAGGAACCCCCTGGGAACCGTCTATTCAATTTCCACGACTCCTTGGTCTAATGACGTTTCTTTTGTTTCAGATCGCAACGGCGGCATCGTGGTGATTACCAATGGTGACAGCATCGGCGGGTGTAATATGGGAGGGGGAAGTGCCTCCGACAGCGGGGATCAAATGGATGCTGAGACTCGTGAGAGGGAACTCTGCCGTCGCAAGGAGGAGGCCAAGAGGAAGCGGCGCAAAAAGAAGCGTACCGGTTCTTCGGTGGTATCTTCGTGTTTCCAAGGTAGGTCAACTAAGATCATTGCGTCCTTTAGGAAGTGTTGCATTAGGGTCCTCGAAGTGTACTGTAATTTTTTTAACACGCCTTTATCTGTTCTCTTTGGACCACACTGGTATTTTTTCCGATTCCCCACTTAATCCTTAGGCTTAGTGATCTGGAGTACACTCCACATCCTGAACCTTCTTTGGTTTTTGAGCCGTCTGTATATATGCGTATTGCATTTGTAGCATCTGACTCTGTGTTCTCTTTTATTTGTATTTTGTAAGGTTTACTAAACACAAACCTGGGTTCAATTGCATCACCGGTTGCCTGCAGCACAGGTTGCGCAGTGAACGCTTCTCGCCATAGGCTTAGCCTCGATTGACTCACTCCTACTTGGAGGTTTACACCAGCAGTGCGCAATCGTAACATGGCCATTAACGCAACCTCCTCAACGTACAGGTCCAGAGGGATCAGACCCGTAATAAATTCCATTGCCACGGTTGGTGTTGTTCTCATGGCTCCTGTGATGTTTAAACAAGCCAGTCGCTGTATTTGATATAATTTTTGGATGGCCGTTGCTTGTAGAACTTTCGGTCCCCAAGCAATGGCTCCGTACGTTAACATAGGTCTTATTATTGCAGTGTAGATCTAGGTGACCACACGGGATAAAAGACCAAATGCGCGTCCCACTGTCCTCCGACATTGCTCATAAGCCACATATGCTCTTTTTGCTCTACTCTGTAGGTGAGAGTTCCATGTTAGCTTCCTGTCGAGGATAGTACCAAGGTATTTTACCTCTTCAGAGAAGTTTACTTTGCTTTTGAAGATTTCGGGAGGTTTTGAGCCCGATAAACATCTTTTCCTGGTGAAAAGGACCATCTCAGTCTTCTTGGGATTGATCGACAGTGAGTGTTCCTTACACCATGTTTCTATTTCAAAAGTTATAATAACGGAAAATAAAAATCATCATGATATTGTTTGTATGATATTAATGTTTGTATAAACAATTTCCACAGACGTCATTCAGAATTATAAGTTTATCATTATCAATATTTAACAGATTAATCCAAATGGAATTGTACATAACCCAATAAAATTTACTAGAGATGCTCCGATTATGGTTTCTAATATCTAATACTCTTGAATCTATGACCTACATTTACAAGATTCACACGAGTTTATACTGGAAATATCGAATGATTGAAATCAAGCCGACTTATTTTTGGCGACAAATGAGCTAGAAAAAAACTTGATTTTACATACAGATATATGCATTAATTTTGAAAATGATTAAATAATTTTTTGAAATATATTCTTCCCATTCTTTTTACTCGCTTACACAGCAGTAAACATAGAGGCATGCACGAAAAGCGTTGGCTTGGCAACCAACTTCAAATGAAATGGCATCGAGAGTCCTTGAATTGAAGAACGAACATAAATTGTACAATCAACAAAACAAAATGCTAATTCTAATGAAGTCATGAGGTAGTCACGTTAATTATATTCATTATTCCTTATGTTATTTCCTGGTTGGTAGCGTTACAAAATATAAAGAAAAGGGTGGAACTACCTTTCCATTGTGATAGGTTTGTTTTGGGATAAGCCAATGACAATGTATTTGTAAATAGTAGGTACTTATCATTTGACAAATCTCTTGTCTCCTGAATAATAGCCAGAGTGCCTTTCACAGCCTTATTTCTCTAATAAGATTATGTCTTGAGAAGTAGTTGGTGTCTGTGTTATTATAAAGTTCAATTAATTTTGAGGCTCGGGTGATTTTAAGTCCCAGTTTTTCTTTGCAAGGTCAGCAGTAGAATGTTATTCAAACTGTTACTGGTCATCTTATGGTAATGAATCGGAACAATGTTTCTCCAATTTGCTTTTGATTATATGTGCATATTCTTTTTCTACGGATGCTATATAATGTGTTACTTCTCTCATCGCTTTCATACGTTCAAAAGGAAAGATTTCTCATGCAGTAAGAAATATCCGCCATTACAGTGAGAAATAATTTCTCACTGTTATCACGATAACCCAAGTCAGTCATGAATTGTTACATGTCAGATTGATATGACACGTTCTCCATGTTGACAACGCTACGCCGACGATTCGCGTGCAATATCCAAGTAGCCCATTGTCGGCGTTTCCATAACAAAAAANTTCATTGATTCCAGTGGCGCATTTGCTTTTTCATCTGCAGGAAAACCTGGAAAAACCTGCAGCACCACATCATCTGAAGATCTTGATCTGCCAATGTCCTCTCTCTCATTAAACAAAATGTAGGGTGTCTACAGACAGTCTACAGGCTCCAATAAATTCAATACATCTCCAGAGCACTTAGTGACACGACTTTTATTTCTTAAAGTTGCAAAAAATGTAGCATTGAATAATTGGATTTCAGAAACGATCTCAATCATTAAATTGTATTAAAAAAAACTCGACCCATATTCTTCATGAAATATTTCATAACCATGAATAAGTCCACCTGAGGTAAATGACTTAGTCTACTTTAAATGAATATTTCCTGGACTCTTCATTCAAACCTCGGACATTAAACATCAAATGCTTCGCTTTGTAACAGTTTAGACGTGGTTCAGACGCTGTACCCCCAATCGCACAATGTACCAGAATCACATTACTTCTATAAGTACACGGGGTGTTTCTTTTTTTTGCGACCTCAAATTCAGTTCACTAACGTATTTAAGATAAACATGCGCATCAGGGCTATTGGACAATGTTGCTGTAATATCAGTGCATCTACCGTATTCATAACATTCAATTATAAATACTCGGTTCGAATTTGAATAAAATAATGATCCAAACTAGTCACGGTTTAAAAAAGTGATAGGAATATATACATAAATGGGATATTTCTATTTCAAGGTAATATGTATTTTCCAATGCAAAAAAATTCGTTTATGTATTTGGCTTAGAAGTTCTAGAATTTTACTTTATCACATTTTGAATATTCAATTACCCTCTTTTGAATTTTTGGTTTTTAATTTCTTAAAAATAAGAATGTGTGCCATAATTATATAGATCAAAATATTTGCAGTATATTATGAGTTGTCAACTCTCTGAAGATCATATAACATGGTTCATTGAATAAATCAGACGTTTTCAAATAGTGATTCTTACCAATTGATAATTAATTAATTTACTCATTCAAATTGCAACAATGTTATATATTTTTGGATCTTCAGATAAGTAGAGTCGTCAGAGGATTTGTTTACATACATATTAGTTTAATAATACATCATAAAATTGCCGATAAATTTGATATAAACACTAAAAATCTTACGAAAGTCATTTGTTTTGACTGATTTATTTGAATGCTGATATTGGGTTTTTATTGTAAACACATAATACTATGGAAAATCCATAAATAGTTCTTCACGGAATCAGAAAATACTTCAACTCTATCTGAAGGATTAAAAATAGACGAGTGAAGACACTAAAGCAAAAATCTTAGCCGCACAGATGCAGAAGGCTGTCATTCTTGGCTCACTGCGCTTGCTCAGGGCACATGATTCTCTGACCCAATGATCACTTACCCCACGGTGTGGGGAGTGGTCATTGGTTGATAATGCTGGCGCGCCCTCCCGAATGTATCGGGGCTTCGGGGGGGATAGGGCCTGACCAGCGCACACTACAGTGAAAAAATAATAATAATAATAATTTATTCTCCTCTTGTTTTACATTTTTGTACATACATATGACACAGTGTAGATAATCATTTCTTTTCTTTGTTTCAGACCTGTACAAATTGACCGGTGAAGTATTGGGTGCAGGAGCTTATGCAAGTGTAGAGACTTGCGTCAATTTGTATACTGACCAAGAATTCGCTGTAAAGATCATTGACAAGGTCCCTGGCCATGCTAGAGCCAGGGTGTTCAGGGAAGTGGAGACATTTCACCATTGTCAGGGTCACCCAAACATCATTCAGTTAATGGAATTTTTTGAGGACGAAGAAAAGTTTTACTTGGTTTTTGAAAAGGTAAAGCATCAACACTTTTAGTAATTCTTTCAAAAATTTGTCTTATTTTACAGTTATTCTTCCAAAATATATTGAAGTATTCACGTCATATCGTTTTTCAGATAAATGGAGGCCAGCTCTTGAGGAAAATCCAAGAGCATAAGTTCTTTAGTGAGGCAGCTGCAGCAGAGATCGTTCGTGAAATAGCCTCTGCATTAGAGTTCATGCATGGCAAAGGAATAGCTCATCGGGATCTCAAGCCGGAAAATATTCTCTGCGTTCATAAAGATCGGCTGTGTCCCATAAAAATCTGCGATTTTGATTTAGGATCTGGGATTCGTTTCCAATCCAGTGTTTCTAGTCCGTTAGCGACACCTCAGCTCATGACACCTGTGAGTATTTCATTTTGACTTTTTTTAAGTTTAAGAACATTTGGTGCAATTGTCTTACATCCGCTAATTGAAAAATTATATGAAATATAAGCAAAACAAAGTAGAATATTTGCCCAATCATAATGATTTCTTAATGTTACTGTTTTATAACATATTCCTTCAAGACTTACAATATTATGAATTCCAACTTCATGAAGTACGTCACCATGATGAAACGTTAAAAAAAACAAATACATTTTGTTGAAAAAACATTGTCCATTCCGTCAGACAATTAATCTTACGAAATAAATGATGGAAAGTCAGCATCAGAGAAAAGTTCAAGTTCAAAACGTCACATGAAAAATATCGAAATAGATAGAAACCCACAATGATCATGATCGTCATACAAAGCATTTCTTTAATGTCCCCCCCTTTTATTTTTCGAAAGGATCAAATCAAAAAATTGAAAGTTGGGATAATGAAATTAATGCATGAATACTTTATTTTGAAGAGAAATCGACAGATGAAACTTTCAAGATGGGGACTGGGCTCCACCTGAGGGAAAAAAATTAAATGGAAAGAGGGTCTTGTGACACACCTTTTTAACGCTCCTGACAAATGCTTCACAACCTTAGAATATAATGTCAATATTTTCAACTACATAATATACGGTAATAAGCTTAATGTCAGTTCAGAAGATGCTCGAAATGGTTGCTTTGAACTTCTTGACATATGAAAAGCCTGTCCGATATTTCACGCCGAACATTTTCGAACACAGTAACGTCAGTATCTACAAATATTTATTATTCTCTGCCGTATATCCAATATTGAGGCAGGTTCAGTTTCGTACAGCTTTTGCTTCAAATAGTCCCATAAAAAAGTCCAATGGTGTCAAATCTAGCGAGCGAGTTGGCCATTTTGTAGGACCTCGACGGCCAATCCAACGACCGGGAAAAGTAGTATCCAAATAGCTTCTTACTTGTCTGGAGTAATGTGGTGGTGCTCCATCTTGTTGGAATACAATATCCAAATCGAAATCATTAGGATTCGCTTCGACGATTTCAGTGATGAGAGGGTCAACAGTAGTTTCCAGCATATTCAAATACAGTTCCCCTGTTAGATTTTGATCAATAAATAGAGGTCCTACAATATGGTTTCCCAATGTTCCTGCCCAAACGTTAATTTTTTCTGGATGTTGGGTATGTGTTTCCCGGAAAACGTGAGGGTTAGTGTCACTCCAATAACGGCAATTTTGTCTGTGAACATTCGTCACTAAAACAAATATTGTGGAGATAGGTAGATTGCCTTGCAATGGTTTCTGTCATGATTTCGCACAATTCTGTTCTTCGATAAGAGTCATATTAAATTAATTGGTGTACCATTTAAATTTTGTATGGATGATACCTATTCCACTTCAAAAGTCTCCATACAGTAGAAGGAGACACCTCACAAACATTCGCGGCGGAATAAGTAGACTATTCAAGGTTTACTACCATCTCGCCAATTATTTGCACTTGCTGTTCTGTCGGAATGGACGGATGACCTGGGGGATTTTTGTTATGTACACTACCGGTAGTTGTGAATTTGGATACAAGTTTCCTCATATATTTTCTACAGATAGGACGATTCGGAAAATGTTCATTGAAAATCCTTTTGTTCTCATGGAAATTACACGTCGCGCCATAAATAAAAATCGCTTTATTCTCATCTTTTGGACGAGAATTGACCATTTTGGAGATTGACGTGGTACCTTTCTACTAGTAAAACCGAACACTAAATGAGAATATTCTAACTGAACAATGACGTTCATTGTCGTACTGACATTTTTTTACGTTTTTATAAACAAAAAATAACTTAACAAACCTTATCGGGTTGTTGGAATTGCCATATGGCAGATAAAAAGGAATATTTCTAGAAATATCGATATTAATGTGTTTGTCTTCAGGAAATTATTAAATGTTCCGCCATTTTGTAGTAGGTGAAGATATTGGCTTCATATTCTAGGGTTGTGAAGTATTCCTCAGGAGCTTCAAAATGATGTGCCACAAGACCCCCCTTTTCTATTTAATTTTTTTCCCATATGGCGCCCAGTTGCCATCTTGAAAGTTTCATCTGTCAATTTCACTTCAAAATAAAGTATTCATGCATTAATTTCATTATCCCAAATTTCAATTTTTTGAGTTGACCCGTTCAACAAATAAAAGGGGGGAACATTAAAGAAATGCACTGAACATTCTGTCCGTTAACAACATGATGGCACAGGGAATCCCAAGTGTGGTTTTATTTAGTATTCATTTATTTTTTTTGAATGAAGTCAATTGGTATTATGCCTTCACCTCATCATTATGAAATTTTATGGATTATACGAAATAATTATAATGACATTGTGGTTGAGGAAGTTTATATTTCTGCAAGTTTTCATGGTTTTGAATGGGTTTTTCTGTTAACCAGCTGTTAAGCTTGTTAATATCAGCTGTTAGGCCTGTTCTACAAGACCATAATAGATTATAAACACATTTATTCTAATATCTATGTTATTGCTGGTTTGGTTCATATACTGAAGTCGTATACAAACAACCGTCAAAACTCAAAATTAGTATAATCTAAGGATCCTAGAGTTGGGATCGAACCAACGTTCACAATAGAAGTGGTTTCGTGAGTGGAAACCACTCACCAATCGGATCTTGCCTGATTGAAAACATTTCATTTATATACTTTTTGTGTATTTGGTGAATGTATTTTCAAATCGGCCGTATGATTTTGATGTTGATATCGGCCGTATGATTTTTGATGTTGATATTTTCATCTTCTTTAATAATGATTTCGAAAATTATGTTAACTAGAAAAATCCCTTTGATTTTACTGTTTGATTGTTACAGGTTGGTAGTGCTGAGTTCATGGCACCCGAAGTGGTAGAAGCATTTATTGGAGAATCTGAGACAACCGCTTATGATAAGAGATGCGACTTGTGGTCTCTGGGAGTGATAATGTACATTTTGCTATGTGGTTACCCTCCCTTTTACGGTAAATGCGGCAGAGACTGCGGGTGGGAAAAAGGAGAAAACTGCAATTTCTGCCAGGAACTCCTCTTCCAAAGCATACAGGAAGGCAGATACGACTTTCCAGACTCGGATTGGGACGCCATATCAAGCGAAGCGAAAGACCTCATTTCCAGTCTGCTCATAAAAAATGCGAGTGAGCGTATTAGCGCGCGGAAAGTCCTGAAACACCCATGGCTGAAACTCGCTAATGACTCTGTATCCCTCACTACCCCAGCTATCATCAAAAGGAATGATTCTGCACTGGAATTGTCCCAATTTGCAGAATCTGCAATGGCTGTGAACAGAGTGGTGCAACAACATTTCAGCATGAATTTGGACTACATGGAAAAGACCAGTGTTCATTCCCAAGAAATCCCAAGGAAAGCGTGCGCATCGGAGAACATGTACATGTTTGGCTTGAGTCCTCCTAGCGAGAGCAATCTGATGCAGAGAAGAATTAAGGCCGGCTCGTGCCAAGTCGTGTTACCGCCGCCTCCGCCGACAATCCCAAGTCCAAGCGGTTGAAGTTGCCCATCTCGTGAAACGATTTGAAATTCTGAAGTAAAGTTAAGTTTTCATTCGATTTTTTGGCATTTTTACAGAAAGTTTAAATTCAGTTGATTGCGTTGTGTTCCGTTTTTGGTCGAAGCACAACAATCTGTTGTTTTTTGTTTTTTCTATTGTGAAGCTGGACTATTGAAAGTATTGAGGCATTTTTCCTAACAGAAAAAATGTGGCAAAACTACCTATAATTGGGCAGCTGACTTAGAACGGCGAAATAGTAATTCAGACAAGAATAGTACTATCATTAGTAACTAATATTTCATAATATTGCCTTTTTTAGGGAAGCTCGTTCTAGTCTCCGAAACGAGTGAGTTTTGTTGCGAAAAACTAATCGAGAACAAATTTTTCAAAAAACCATAAGATGCACTCTTTGCAAAATCTTATTCAAAAAGTTCCAGATAATCCTGACAAGATTGAGGTAGATAATGAACAATTTCATTGTCTTTCATTTTCAGCAATTTTTTCAGCTGTAGCACTAATAATTTGTGTTGCACTATCAATCTTCTGTCAAAATTATGGGAAGTATATCTCCTTACTATATTTCCAAATATAAATGTGAGCTTCCTGGCTATAATCATGGGTATGATTTCAAAAATTTTTCCTGTGATTATGTGTTAGTATCTTATGTCAGTTGAAAAACTTCAACCATGAATTTCAATAAATCGTATCACAATTTTTAGGAAGTTTTAGCTCCTTACCATGTGTACCATCGAATTCAAATGAAAGCAAAATGCTCTAGTCTATTTAAAATTCAGTAATAAAACTCAAGTAGGTATATATGAAAACTCTTGGAAGGTGAACAAAATAATTTCATTTATGTTTTCAAAAAATGTAAATGTTTAAAGAGACATCAAGTAAAACTTTTTATTTGTGAAATTATAAAACAACGATAAAAATAAAAACAACAATAACAATTAATTGGCGCTCCGGGGCGAATTCATTGATTCCAGTGACATCAAGTTATTTTATCCACCTTGTAAGTGTTTTATCATATACAATTAGGGTTTATTGCTCCCTGTCAATAACGAAACAGATTGTTTTTCAAATGTTGAACAAACTTATTCTAAATTGCCTTAGCATAATTGCGAATTTTAATAAGTTTCAAATTCGCCGCCGAATCTTTAATAATTGTAAATCTCGGTAATTTGAAATGCATAACAAATGTATTTTTCATTTTTTTTTTTTTAGAAAAATCTAAATGTAATAGGATTTCAGAAAAATCAGGTTCAAATAATTACTTTTCTATTGACCACATGAATTTGGGGAAAATCTCTGCTTGGATTGATAAATGAAAATATTGATGTGGATAGATTTTGATTTGAAGGTCTCGAATTATGATCTGACTAATTTTGAAATGGCTTGATGCGTACTAATTGAACCAGCACAGACTGTTGGACCAAAAAAAAATTCACCGAGTTCTGCCAAAGCAACTCTAAGTCCAAATTATAACTGTAACCAATTTCGTTTATGTTGAGCTCACCGTACCATTAAAACATGAAATTTATTGAAAAGACACCCGATTTAGCAAGGGGAAAACGTTTATTCAGTTTCATCAAAATTATTTCATGTTTTTTGATACATTAAGAAGACATCCAATCAAATTTGCACTCAATTTTATAGGTTTCTGAAAGAACTTAGTAAATTCATTGTCACGGCTTTGAATTAATTCAAGTCTCCTTCAAATGAAAGTATTATATTTTTGTGGAATGAGAAGAATCTTGAATCCGAATAGTTCTTATTGATAGGCTCCAAGCATTTAGTGCTAGACGGTGCCTCAATATGAATTGATGGTTCAGCTATGGCCTAGATTTAGATATCTCGCTTGATTTTTAATACTTTTGTATGTGTTTAGGTAGATTGAAGTAAGTCTACAATGTGATAATAAATAAGCATCTGACGTGCAAGATTAGATGCACGATAGACTGTAGACCGCCGTACCTGCTTTCATTTCAGTGAGATACGGAACGTAAAATTTTTGGGCAATGCCCTGTTAAGTACTGACAGTCCATTTGTATTCTAAGAGTCCTATATAAGTTTGGATATTTTTTTAAAGATTTTGTAATGCTCAAGGGTAGTTGTCCTTAAAAATGACTGGAGTGGTATCCAAACCAGGGCGCGTATCAGCAAATACCAAATTGGCAGAAAAACTAAATTATCTTTGAGTCTGTTAGCAGTTTCATCAATACGGATTCTTTAGATGATTTTCAAACTTATCCCAGTGTTCTCAATAAAAATGACTGCCGGTTTGGTGCTTGTTACTTCCAACACTCAGGGTTGTAATGGTTGGATTGGCGAGATATTACAAAATCTCGTTGAATGAATGTTGATATGTTTGTGATATTCAGAATGAATGATATCCCTAAATTGTAGTACCCTACAAATTGGAGTATTGTTTTTCTAAGATTACTTTAAGGCATTTATTAACGTACTGTCACAGTACGGTCTGTTTCCAATCAGTTTATACCAAAAACAGATTATATTGAGAAAAAAATTTAAAAAAAATTATATCATGGCTGAATTGCCGTGAGTGCCATTATTTTCTATTTATATTTTTATAGTCGATTCAGTATGGCATGTTTTCTTATTTTTTTTTCATACTGATTCAATTATAAAGTCACAGAAATTATAAATATTGTTGAAAATTTGGTTACATCGTTTTTTTACTTCAAGCATGCCAGCATTGGGTAAAATAGTGATGGTGATTATGAACCAAGTGTGCTTTAATTTCTTATGAATAAAGACCGATTTTTTTAAAGTTAGTCGTTTCATTAACCTTTTCCCTTTCCAAAAATTACTTTTTTTTCCATGTCTAAACTTTTAAATAACATGCATTTGATAGGATATTGAATTTGAAATAGTTTTGATTTTGTGAGCCTGTTTTCGCAAACAGAGAGCCATTTTAGACATTGTAATTTTCAAAAATTTCAAGCAGATGTCGGCGAAACCAGTTTTCAAATTGGAACAGAATATTTTTGACACGAATATTGTTCTCTAGCTAGTTCTAGTTCATGTTTCTAGCCACTGGTGGGATCAAATTTCTCTACATTTTCAGAGTCTTGTTCAGTTTTGCTAAAATAATTTACATAATGTGAATTTAAGCGATATCTTCGTTACAAGTATTCAACAAAATTTGTTTTTCCTTTTTTTGAACAAACGGTGGAGCTTTAGATGTATGGGCCGTCGGTCTATCAATCAAATATATGCGGAATTACGCCTGGTTTCAAAATATTTTTTTCCATTTTCATAGTTTTGATATACATGTAATTTTCTAAGTCTTTTTCAACGTAAAATTCAAAGTAGTGCTCAGAGTAAAGTATAATTGTTTTATTAATCATTATCATTCATACTTACATTAAAATGATCTTTGCAACAAAAATGCTTCCGCTTGACAGATACAAAGTCGGCCCTCCGCATAACGCGCTGCCATAACTTTCGTAACAGTAAAATGAAAATTTTGTTTGGTGCAGTTACCAAAGAATTCTTGCATTTAGGAACGTTGCGATACTTGTGACGTCATTGTTTATCATTATTCATATTCACGCAGTTGACACACTGCAGTAAACAACACACAACTTTCTTTCTACGGCTTTAGCACACGTATTTCTCTTATCCGCCAGCACTCCACTGTTGTGGAATTGGCCGCGGTGGTAGTGCGCCCGACTCACGATCGGAAGATCGTGGGTTCGATTCCCGCCTCGACCAGATATTTTTCTCGAGAGAATTTATCTGGTTGAAGGTGGAATGATTCTGCAACCGTGTTAGGAATCACACGTTAAAAGGTAATACCTCGTTAGTCCTTAACTCGCACAAGTTCTCAACTTTTGAGAGTTGTCGTTCGTATGGGGGCGATAGCTGATTAACGGATTTTAAACAGACTCCCTTGTCGCCGAGTCGACTGATGTGACGTCAAGCTTTACCACGCTCCGTTTCGGTGAACAACAATTAATTTGAAGGGGAAGATAAAGAGTGAAAATTCATATTTTTTGCAGATGTACTATTTGAAACATAAACTTTCAAATTATGAAATAAAAATAAATTTGTTTAATGAGCCCATTTTTCAAGAAAATTACAAATGACAATATTTTCATTGTGATTCCTATTTTTTGAAAATTCAACTACCTTAGAAACGATTGAAAACTGATTCTTCCTTAATTTGTTGTGATACATATTACATTGAATTTTTGAAATTATTGTGGCGCTGGAAATATGAAATGTAACATCAGCATTATTAAATGAATATACTTTTCATAATTTCATATAACATTTATTTATCCATTCTCTAACGACAAAGTATATAGATTTGTATTCTATAAAAAAAAAACAATTTGGTGATAGTATATTTCTTGAGCTGCCTTTAATTTATAGAAAAATATTTTCAGAAAAAAAAAGTCATTACTTTCGATTATGAACGTTAAATTACACAGAAAACACTTTCTCTCATCCAGTTTGTTTCCAATTATTTAAATATTGATAGAGAAGTAAAAGGGTGGAAAACTTTTTCCGAAAAATAATTTAAGAAATCTTTTTCCATAAGCGAAATTCCCATGACAGGAAATCAAGTAACTAGTTATAACGCGCAGATTTGTCTCTTCAAGTATAAATGATTTTAAAAAGTCGCATGGCGTGCAATTGCAACATAGTATGAAAACATTAATGTTTTTTCAACAGCATCTCTAATAGGATGATGCTTGATCCTCAATAGACAAAACAAGGTATGGTTCAAGTAAAAGATATAGTGCCCCCTACCTTCCAGCAGTTCCCCTTCAATAACACACACAACGCGGTAGTCATTCTATTGGTCACCGTAACATTACTTCAAATTTAATTTTATGACTCTTCAGCCAATCATAAAACTCGGTTAGTAAAAATTATCCAATACGAACCGCCAATTCTTCAGTCCACGTGGACTAATTCGTAGCGGCATAATTCCTTTGTATTGTTTTTTTGGCCTTTGACTTCGCCGACACCTTTAAGATTACTATATCGTTTACTTCGACTATAACTATACTATAAGAAAGGTAAGACGAGTCAGACAAAACTTTAAGGCACATTTAATGATTCTTCCCAATCATACAAAAATAGCTTTCATAAATAAACAATATAAATATTAAACAAGTCAATATAGAAAAGGGCAGTATTATTAGTGCACACTATATCACTTCTGATAAAGACAGAAAATCACCAGATGAACTGTTTATTATTAGCTGTGGCAGTGGTCTATAATAGCAAATACCATAAAATTTTCTCATGTTTTCACAAGATTATATTATGCATTTCCAGGGACTAAAAAAGAGGTCATCAGTTTACAATAAAAATACTCAAAATTTTCAAATAGTGTGTGTACACTAGGAAGTTCTCATAATTATTAACTACCCTAGAAATGGTCTCAAAATAAAAATTCTCAATTCTACAATATTTATATTTCCTTTCAGAAACATTCATCAACATAGAAATGTCAGTCTTATTCGTTAATGAGTAATTGAGATTATGAGATCAAGCAAGCCATTTTCATTAACACACATTAGTTTCCAGCATTTTCAACAGAATTAGAGCCGATTCCCTAGTATCTATATTATAATGATCAATGTTACATTTTGGTAAAAATTCCTCAATGCATCAATTTTGTAATAATAATTGCATGGTGCAACTAGATATGTGACTTTCTTCTATACTTTCGTGACTGTTATAGGTTAAATTAAGTTGCAAAATATGAATGTTTTCACACAAAAACGTATTTCAAGTATGATAACCCATGAAAATATATAAACCACTTTCCAGAAGTAATTTGAGTTATATTTAATTTCTATAGTAAAACAAATCCAAGAAACTCATATATTCTACGTTCCATTCAGTGATTAGCTGTTATTATTAGCATTATAAATTGAAAAGTCTAAGAATTCCTTGTTACAATTGAATATTTTACAGATAATTTCTTTAGGAAACAGTTAATATGATCAGATTGGATTTGAAACCTCCAATTCCTGTGAAGTGAGAAGGAATCCCCAACTTAGAGCATATATCTGAACTTTTATTTTGAGACCTGATTCCATTCAAAAAATCTAACTTATATTAAAATCACAAAATTCGAAAACGATTTCTAATAAGTCAAACATGAACATGTCAGTCGCGAACTCTCATATTCCATATACTGGATCTTCTCAGACCTACCGTTGGTCTAGCTACTGAACTAAATTTGAACTTATTGATTTGCACTTTCGCCCCCAAACTCTCCTGTACTATCCTCAGCTCGTCAATGTCAATATAACCTCCATGAATATCCAGGTAGGAAAGGTTGTACACTTTTTTGAGGAACCTGAAATTCAACTCAAATAAATATTTTGTAATTCATTCGAAAGATAATGTGGACATGTCACATAAAAATTAAAAAAAATTAAAACGTGACTTATATGGACCAAAAAATTTAAAAAACCATGACTAATTTCAAACTACAGTAGTTCCCAGTAAATGCTCGAATTGTTCACTATTATCTACCATACATGAGCATAAATTAGTCTCCAAATGTCTGACATTTTTTAGAATACGCCTGGAGTTGAAAAAAAAATCTGTTATAATTTTTTTTTAACCAGCTGTCGCTAACGAACAACAACCCTCAGGGTTGTGCGAGCCAAGGATCAACGAGGTTTTACTTTTTAACGTGCGATTCCTAGCAAGGGTTGGACGACAGGCAGTGTGAATCAATCGTCCAGCTTCTGGGCTAGAACCTTCAGTTCACACAGCTTTCTAAAAAATCAGTGAAACAAACCACTCACGCCAACCCAAACTACTACTGTTACTTGAGGTGAAATTGTTTTCCCGCAAGAGGGCGCCAAAATCACTTTCCCTATTCAAATTCTAAGGCAGAACGTCTCCGTGGTATGGGGGAAGAGGTATGACAGTTTAGGTTATGATATTCGATCTATTTCGGGTTTGTTCTAATGTTCAAATTTGACTGTATGTAAAAACTTTTCATTGTCAATTAGATGCAAGTTTCAAAATTAGTAACCATTTCAAAACACTGAACAAACTGACCTACTTCCAGCGAAGACAACATTTCTTAAAAATACAATCCAAAACAACACTTCAAAATCCACTCATGATAAAAAGCAATGCATGCTGTTATCATCACACTTAGGATTGGGCTTCTTCAATCCAAAACAACCGGAGGTGTCTTGGTAAACTATATCTTGATATTTCACTCTTTTTGCATCCTCTTTTCAGACAATATTTGTCTCACCTGGAGCTGAAAACTCCATTGCAAATATTGCAATGGCTTATTAGCTTATTAGCTTGTATCTGCCGAAGGGAATGACTAGTACTAATAAACTCGGCACTCCTCCTGATAAACACATACAATATTCCCTAAAGTATAAAATAGGGTAAACATCAGTAGTGTCATAGGCGAATATAATAATTATTGTTGTACCAAAGAACCGAGCATAAAATATCAAAAATAGGTGATAACACTTCTCACACTAAAGTAAAAAGTTTGTGACTAGTTCCACATTCTGCGCTTTCTATCTCTCAAAAACTTATAGAAGAAATCGTGTTTCATATAACACTCTTGATAATTTTAGGCAATTACCACAAAGGTAATAATTTCAAAACAAATCAATAGCAACTACTTACAATAAAGCCTTATAAGGTATTAGGTAACACCTAGAAAGTGCAAGAAAGTTAAGGTCTTCTAATACTGTTATGTGTTTCACAGCCTCTCCCGTAATTGCAGTGCAATCTGATAAATCTAATTCCCTGAGTCGAGGACAGCTTGTTACCAATGCAGCTACATCTGAAATAATGATGTGAAAGTATAAAAAAAACAGCATTAACATTAATTTTTAATCAATAATCAAGATATTCAACTCAGAATTGCAACTTTAATCCCAGTCCTGATTTTGTTCTCTCTAATTTAACTACAGAATTTCAAATTCAAAATCAGAAATTCGACTTTACATGATGCTGACAATTTATACAAAGAATATATATAGATATATTTCTTATAGCTGTAAATTGATGGATGTAGCCGTTACTACGTGGTAGGAGATCATAATGAAAAATTAAACATGGATCTTTCCAAGTTTTTTTTTACCATTTGCATTTGTGACTAACGTAACTGCATTTTTGTTCTATAAGGCCATTTTCTAAAGAATGAATTACACTGAAAATAATTGATAATATTAGCCCTTATATATCTAAACATCACTGTAGTTAATCACAGAGGTACCTTACTGTATTGAGTACCTGAATTTTGTTTACCTGTGACAATGTGAGTACGTTAATTAGAAAACCGATTAGTAAATTAGAACGATTTTAACATTTAGCAGGATACATCCACAATGCTTATGCTTATGAATTTCCAAGGATTCCAAATAATTAAGTTTCCAACACTTGCTTGTATGGTATGAATTGACGTTTTCAAACCATTCCTTGGGATGCAACCACAAGTTTCCGAATCTAAACGATAAGAGATTTTGCACCATACAAGCAAGTGTGGGAAACTTAATTATTTGGAATCCTTGGGAAATTCATAAGCATAAGCATTGCGGATGTATCCTGCTAAATGTTCAAATCGTTCTAATTTACTCATCGGTTTTCTAATTAACGTACCCACATTGTCACAGGTAAACAAAATTCAGGTACTCAAATTAAGTCAAGTACCTCTGTTATTACCTTAATTGGTGTTTAGATATATAAGGGCTAATATCATCAATTATTTTCAGTTTATTGTATTCGTTTGAGAATGTCCTTATAGGAATAAACTGCAGTAACGTATGTTAAAAATACAAGTGTTGAAAAAAAAACATAGAAAGTTTCATTTCTCATTTTTAATTATTCTTATAGCTAATTGATACTCATGAAAAATTTGAGGATTGACAGTTTTTACAAGTCACGATTGAAGAAAACAAAATCCGGGCTTTTTTAAATCAATCTGTGGGCACTCCAAATAAGTTCTGGAAGACATTGAAACACTCACTTTTATCAGATATCAATTTCCTACAACCAGAAAAATTTAACCTATCCATTGAAGATGGTAAATTTTCACAGATGTATTGAATGCTGGAAGAGTTCATATAAGTCCAAGCAATGTTCAGTTCTCTAATCCTAAAAAAAATTATTCATAGTTATTTAAATATTTATTCTAATGTAGAATACTCTGCAGTGCAAGATATAACAACTAGAACCATTAATAGATAAAATTATGTGAATATCACTGGGAGGTAATTTCTTGTGGAAAATATTATACTCTTATATAAAACTGAAATAATTTCAAATGTATCATTAATGCAAAAACGGCAGACTGACTGAGTCTAGCCTGAAAAGTTGCTGCAATAATAATAGAATTGTTCAATAAGAACTGTTGGTTTCCTTTTCAGAGAAAAATTGTTCTTACTAGCACTAGAGTCCTGTAACTTTTTAGACTAGACGCAGTAGTGAACTAGTATAGGGGGGACTAGGATCTCTATAACATCAAAGTGAAAAGAATCAACTGTTAAGGGAGGTTAATTATCTGCTAGTATTACTGCATACTAGACTGATCTCAAACCAACATTTAGGATAAAACCAAAGGCAGAGGTAGCACTAATGCTGGAAGAGTGGCAAGGCTTGCTTATTTAGGAATAATGAGCAATGAAAACAATAGCAGCAACAGTATTGGAGCAATTTTTAATCCTTCAATAATAAGGGAAGCAAGAGTGGGTAATTTCAGACTGAAAAATTCACCGAGAGAAAAATTGAATTGAGAAAAATTGGAATCTCGTAATAAATGGAGAAACAAACATCAACATGTTGAAAGACCACATGACATGGATGTAATATTTCGACTCAATTCACAGTTCAAATAACAGTTATCTCAAGAACTTGCTTGGCAGAAACACTGTTATACAGTCAGGTCAAAAAAGTGAACATGGAACACGAGCTGGGAGTGCTCTAACATTTCAATACCACTTTTGTAGAACGATTTATCTTTTGCAGCCATAATATCTTCATTCGAGCAAAATTTCTTACCAAAATTATTTAGGTATTTTACTTATCAAATTGAAATATGCAGAATTAAGGCCATTGACATCTCTTCTAGTGTTAACATTATAATATTTGAGGATATCATCTCGCTCATGAGTCTTTTGGACAAATATGGTTGAACATCTAGAATAGTTGGATGGTCAAAATCAAAAATGTTTCTATATTCTTTTTCATGTTCAACATGGGCTGTGGAGTTTTTTATATTCATCCAAAATTGGATCTGTATAAATTCATACAGAGAAAAATATGTTGGAATGGATTTTATAAAAAGTTGGGAAGTTGAACGCAATAATTCTATGAAGCTGCAGTGTTTTCCAGAGGATTGTACATTTCAGATGGATAATAAACAGCAAAAAAGACCCAGTAGTAGTGCTTTCTATATTGTTCAGAATTCTCTATAGATTTTTGTTTTCGCATTGAGGAAAATTATAACTTACTTTCTACAATTCGTCAATAAATACTTCAGTCCATCTTCCATCATTCCCGTAACCATTGCAAAGTTGATTACCTCTATATCCCTATTGGCCGATAGTGCTATTAAAACATCATCGTTGACAGGCACATTTTCCAGGCTCAATTTTTTTAGTCTCCTACATTTTCCAAATAGCATAACAAGACTTGCAGTAGATATAAATGACATACTCAAGTCTAAATAAAGTAATCGTGATCGAAAATCTGGAGATGCAGCTTCCATGTCTGGTAATATGGGTGGATACAATATCTGAGAAAATGAGAAGTAGATTTACTACAAAAAATACACAACAGAGCACAGCAAATATCAGAATAAGTTCATACAGTGTGTTATATTGAAACTGGAGATCCGAGGTTCTCCCTATTTGAAATAATGTAGTAGTGGTAGTAGTAGTAGCAGTAGGTAGTTTGTTAAATTCTACTAGTCCTCCGAAAAACAGACTATTCATTGTTGACCTTGAGTTTGTCCTGGATACATAGAAGCTTATATTAGTTCTAGTGTCATATTGGTCATTTCAAGATACTCAATTGAAATCTTTTTCCCTACTTTGGTCTGTACACAAATTTATGACAAGTTAATCTTTAAATTTTATAATCAGTGTGACGTTAAGATAATAATTTGACATTAGTAATTGATATGTAAAGTAATCATACTTGTCATGACACCAAAGAATCCCAGATCAATCTGTCGAGGCCTTGGGTACCAGCAATCACAATGCCCCCCCCCCTACTACCGATGATTACAAAATCAGAGTGCTTGACAACACAAGTGAAATGTCATTAATTAAATCGATTACATTATAGCACTGACAGTAGATAAACAACAGTATGGTATAGTAATGTCCATTGCATTATAATAATATACAGTGTGGAATTATATAGTCTCCCTCTTAAATTTTGGATGGACAAAATTCAATGTCATAGTTATGGTATAAAACAAAAATATTTTTTCAGTAATTTTAAAAGAGTTCATTTCTCTAACAGAAAAAAATCTTTAACGGTGAGAGTTAATTTCTCCAAAAAAATGTTTCAATTTGTTTTTGAATTTCTCTATGGATTTTGTATTTAGTTCTGGACGTCTTTAATTTTTTTTAAATATGTTGGAATTTTTGTGGCCGGTAAACACTTGGTGAATGAACATACATTTTCTTATTTTATGATGAAATTGAATATTTATTTATTTATCTACGGGTAACCCCAATTTGTATACACGAATTCAATACATTTTAGGAAGTAAACACTAATACTAATCTAACTTTAATTATACTAATAACCTAAGAATAAAATATTTGAATATTTGAGCACTTATTCCTGTGATTTACAGTTGAATATTTTTCAATCTATTTCTAAGAGAACATTCAGGAATATAAAATAATTCCAGATCAACCATATTGCCATTAGAAATTATTCTAGAAAGTGGAGAATTTTTACCATAATTACACCTGTGGAAGTCGATTGCAAACATTTGATTGTTCCGTGTCCTTCTAGGAGGTACGTGAAGTTTAATTTCAGAAACAAGAGTTGAACAATAAATTTTCGAACTGAACAACTTATGGAGGAATATAATATCTGCATGAATTCTACGAGTACTGAGTTTCGATATATCTGTTTTGAGACGGATATCTGAGAGTGAGTGATCGATCAGAGGCATGCTCAGTTTAAAGGCAATATATTTCAGGAATTTATTCTGAACTTTCTCTATGTTATAACTGTAAAGTTCATATTTCGGGGACCAAACACAACTGCAGTATTCCAAAATTGATCTTACCAATGAAAAGTACAATGCCTTTATGGAGTTGACATTTGTGAAATCCTTTGTTAATCTGCAGATAAAGCCTAACATTTTCATCGCTCTACTAGTGATATGTTCATAATGGAAATGGAAATCCATTTTGGCATCTACTACAATACCTAGATCACGTATAGATTTTACAGATTCCAATGGTTTACCTTCAATTGTGTATTCAGTGATGAAGTGATTACTTGATCGAGAGAAAGACATACTTTTGCATTTAGTTGCATATCAAACGGTTATGATCATTTATATAAATTTATAGTCGGTTCCAGATGGGATAATTTATAAATACATTTATTACCATGTTTTGGAATCTTTTCAAAAGTTTAAAACTTACACTCCAGATTTTACAAAAAAAAAACTCAGGGTGTCATGTCAGGTGATCTAGTGGATCAATCTAAGGGACTATCTGTATCTGTAGAGTAGGGAGGGTGATTGTAGGTCCACAACACTTAAGCCACATGTGATCCATTGTACATCCTCCTGATGAGTTATCCTCCTAGGCCATCGTCCATCCTGTCCTTTCCAGGAAGGTGGACAGGTCACTAGGGGACATCTCCTTTATATCGGCAGGTGTAGGCCAAGACTCTCCGAACACAAACTCTTTTATTGATGATAACTCCGGACACTCGCATAAGACATGCCTGACAGTTTCATCTTCCTGTTCACACATCCTGCATAGACACACATCCACTAGACCCATATTATGGAGGTGTTTCCTAAGTTGACAGTGGCCAGTCAGAAATACTACTGTTAAGAGTAGATTTTTCCTGGTTATCGCCAGATATTTTTTCGGGGCCAGCTTCCCAGGGTCGCCCAGGGTGATCCTGGCCAGATTGCATCCTTTGATTTCATTCCATCTCTTTAGGGATGTCAAAGTCATCTAATCAGGCCGTAGGTGCCACTAGGTCCTGAAATTCTTAGTCCAGCCGCTTTCTTGGCTAAAGAGTCGACAATGCGATTACCTTTACTCCTGTCGTGCCCTTCAATCCACCTCAGGATAATGTTATTATCTACCGAGGCTTTGGCTAAAATCTAAAGGACTAGTCTGCCTATCTATGGTTTGAAAAGACCACTCTTCATAATGAGGAGGTACCCCATCTTACTGAAACTCAAGTTCAGTTTATAATTATATCAATCTTAAGCCCGATACAATGTTACAGGATATCTAGATATAGAGGTCCGACTGAATTTTCTTCCAAAAATATCGGTCTTACAAAGTGTTTCGACAATACAGACTGACAGTATGTTGAATTATCATCAGGTACTATCTTATTTATTCTATAAATAAACAGTCTGATTGTTTAATTTATGAAATTACACTACAATTAAACTTAGGATTCAGCATTTGATTTTTTTTTCTCCTTCACATGCAACCAGACCCGCGGTTCCCATTGCTGGGACAACACTAGCACCAGCCATGTGGAGGCCCTGCATGGCACAAATTAAAAAATTATTATTTTTTCAAAATGTTTTCCAACATCTTAAATATGACACACTGTATAGTAACTTATGAGGAAGGGTACGATTTTTTAAAAATTCTTGCTTGAATACATAGTGAATAAACAATGTTCTTATTTGAATACTTTATAACCTGTACATATTCCATATTCACCTCAGATCTTGCCAATCTTAAAATAATGACTTGTTTGCTTAATATTTTTCCTAGTTCTCCTCGTGGAAGATGTTTATTTGATACATCCATCCTCGTCCAAAGGCTTTCATCCTGAGAAAGTCTGTGAAACCTTTGAGATACTAAAGATATATCTCTGAGGTAAGTTTTTGGTAACCATCTCAGAATATGTAAAATCACTTCATCCGATAGTAAGTCAAAATAATCTGCAATTGAAAAATTAATTGTATCTATCTAAAAGTAAAATTTGAAAAAATTATTGAACTACTTTCAACACTTTTGAAACTTCTCTATGAACTGAAAATCCGCTATAAGAATGCTTACTTGTTTTATTAGTGGGGCGGATCATTGGTTTTTTCACTAAAAGGGCGTCCCATTCTCCCAGACTCAATTTGTCTAACGATTCCTTTGTTAACGTTGATTCCAATAAAGTCAACTGAAAAAAAATTGAACTTATTACAGTATTTAGTATTTTTTTATTTATTTAATTCATTGAGTCACTATCCCAATGATTGAATCTTCATCTAATTACCATTTATGGATTTGAGTGAATAATTAATGTTCATGATACTTTTTTTCCACTCAGACAAAAAAAATTGTGTAACAATTACCAATGCAAAATTTAAAGAAAGGGAAAAACAAGCATAAAACACAAATCTTATGAAATTAATCGAAGAATTCCTTAATATAAAATGACATATTTTCAATATATACTTTTTTAATTATTTATTTAAAGAAGAACTTTAAAAAAATTTGGAACATAGTTTTATGTCAATATATTCTGGTCCACCATCATATGCTGAAGACCTTCATTCATTCAGGTATTTATATGAAACGCAAAACTGTAATTTCACCAAAATAAACGATAATCAAATACTATTGAGTCTGTGGAAGTAACACCTTTCTCGGATTACTACACTATTTTAGCACTAGTATACACATCACAAACATCATAATATAACAAATGATAGGTAATTTTTTTCAAATAATTGTTGAATTCAGTTCAACAATGATCTTATAAAATCATGTTTTGGACAGAATCCATTGATATGCTGCAATGTAAAAAATAAAATGCACAGTCTCATTTCAGTCTCATGCTCTTTTAGAACAGTATGATATGCAAGTATATCATTCATATAATGGCAAAAAGACAAGAGATTTCTATAAAATTATGATCGTCCATACTAACAAATTTATATGTTTATAATTCAGCCATCTTTATTTCAGAAGGATGAATTTTGTTATAACATACCAGTTATGTGTAGAAAATAACAGAAATTTTAAATTTCATGGGCTTGGAAAGTTTGTTTGAAAATGAAAATTTATGTTTTTTACCACTTTTATTTGTAACTAACGTTACTGCAGTTTCGTCCTATACGGACATTTTCAAACTTATACAATGTAATGAATCATTGTTAGTTTATTGATGTAATGAATCATTGTTAGTTTATTGTATAAGTATAGGATGAAACTGCAGTGGTAAAAAACATAGAAATTTTCATTTCTCTTGTCATTATGATTTCCTACCACGTAGTAACGGCTACATCCATCAATTTATCATTTGTAATTTTTTTTATTATTGTGTTGATTACAAGCTCCTGAAGTATGATAAAATTTTCAGCTGTGTTCATTGTCCACTTTGTCGCAGCCGCTAAGGAGTTAGACGTGTTTAAATTATGCATAAAAAATGGAACAAAATGTGTGAAATGATTTTTTTTGTCCCTTAGGAGCTGTCTGTCTTGTCCATTTAATCTAAGTCTCCAGAAAACACAGCCTCTTGGGCTTATTGCGTTTATCCTCCCATCTTCTCATGACACCCATTCCATCAGTCTCGTTCCCTGTACTAGTTTGTACAGGTTCTGTGTTGGATGTTCTTCATATTCTTCTGGACGTAATTTTGTATGTCCATATATTGCCTGCCTCCTGTGATTCAGTGCCTCACATTCACATAAGATGTGTAGAGCTGTTTCTATCTCATCGTTGCATAATCTGCAGCTGAGGTCTCCGTTGTAAACCCCCACTTTATTCAGGTATCCTCTAAGCGGATAATGACCGGTTAGTAACCCTGTAATTATTCTGAGCCGATCCTTACTATATTGAAGTAGTCTTCGGCTCTTTTCTCGGACGGTTCCCTAATGAAGGTTCTACTGTGTGCTTCTTATTGGTCCATGTCCAAATCTGGTTTTATACCAATGATTTTGGTACCCCCAGAGCTGGTTCAGGACCTATATATGAAGTTGATGATCCGTTTCTAGCGCAGTCATCAGTGATTCCTGAATGCCCTGGCACCCAGTACAAAGTTAATTTGTTCCTATTTGCAAGTTCATTCAGTTCTTCATGGCATTCCCAGACCAGTTTTGATGTCACCTTCGGGTTTGTCAGAAACCCTAGTGCGCTCTTCCGCCTGAAAGACGGATGTGTATAGTCCTAGTGGATAACTGTGAAATGTTAAAAAAGGCCTATGATGAGCCTGATATGAGTACAAGAAGAGTTAACAAGTGGCATATGCATTTCCAACATGGTCGTGAAGATGATAAAGATGACGAACGCCCCAGACATACCGGCACATCAACAACCAATGAAACTATGGAAAAAGTGAAAGAAATGTTATGAAAGATCGCCAAATCACAATCAGAGAACTTGCTAATGATGTTGGCATATCGACTGGCTCATAATCATGTTTTGTATACGAAACATGTGGCAGCATAATTAATTCTAAAACTGTTGAATTTTGAACAAAAACAACTGATAATGGAAGTTGCTCTGGAGTCACTTAATGAAGTCAATGATGATGCAGTATTACTGAAACGTGTCATAACGGTTGACAAAACATGGATATGACATTGAAACTGAAGCTTGATTGTCACAGTTGAGGCATTCTAGCTTGCCAAGACTAAAAAACTAAACAAATGTTAGAGCTTATGCTCACTGTGTTTTTCGATTTTAATGTCAGAGTGCATCATGATTTCTTGCTACGGGGTCAGCCAAAAGGAAGTACTATCTTTGCGTTAAGCAATCCAATTTGTGGAAAAACAATTCATGGCTTTTGCATACGATAATGTACTTGTTCACACTTCATTGATTGTTTGTGAAATTTTGGATAAAAATGGTACTGTAACAATGCCCAGCCTTCTCATTTGCTAGACATGGCTCATTTGGAAACATAATTGTTAATACAATAGTCAATAAAGAAATCTATCACCTAGCTTTACAGACCGAGTATATCCTCAGTCTGAAATTCTTGGAGAGTGGGTAATCATTATCAAAAAATGAAGTATTCTCATTTTCATTATTATTCACAATAAATTTGTAATTAGGCTTGAATGATGGCCAACAGTTTTCAGGTCCAGGGCACTTATAGTTATCACAAATCTACTACTGAATCAGAAAATTACATTACCTGTTTATCTCTACTATTTGGGGTCATAGACACGCAGGAGACATCTATAGCTCCTGGTTCACCTTTATTAAAAATTGTATCATCATCTGTGAGTTCCTCTTCAGGATCGCCATCCAAACGTCCTACCCCACGGTCAAAGACTTCATGAAGGACTACATCATTTTTGTTAAGACTCCAATGACCACCTTTATCCAATTCATCAACTTCTTCATCATACCTTGCACGTTTGCTAATAAATTGAAAAATTAAGAATATTTTATAAATGTTGAGTTTTGTAACTTACCGAGGTGGTGACCTACCAATATTAACGTCAACAGGTTGTAATATGCTGGACATAGTTAAAAACAGATATTTTCCCCACAACTTATGATGACTTTCCTCAAAACATCTTCCTTCCCTCCAAGCTCCAAAATGCAAAGCACCAAATCATAGAAATACAAAAACTAATAGGTTAAGATTTTTTTACGTTATTATGTTGGACACTCTGCAAAAAAGCGCGCATAATATTCAAAGAGAGGCAAAAATTAGAACAAGTTTTAAGAGATTCCCTACACATAGAATATTCGCTAAAATCAGTAAATCAACATTTCTACCAATAATTGAAAATATTTTGTATTCTTCTTTTATTTAATGTAATGTAATAGTAATGAAATTTGTTTTGAATCTCACAGAAATTTTTGAATATATTTCTGATTGTTTCTTCTTCATATTCTTTTTTTAGTTTTTATGACCCTTTTTGACATATATTAATTGACAGATCTCATATGATACAATCCAAAGCGTTCGATTGTGTAAATCATGGAATACTGCTCAGAAAATTGTATCATTATGGCAATGATGGAATAACTCATAAGTGGTTTGAATCTTACCTCACCGATAGAAGTCAAATAGTTAAAATGCCTACTTCATTATCAACTGTAGCTAGTTTTAACAGTGGAGTCCCTCAGGGTTGTATTCTGGGTCCCATTATTTTTCATTTGTAACCCGTAAACAAGTTGATGTGGTGTATACGGACTTCAGCAAAGCATTTGATCAGGTTTCACATCATCAGTTGCTCGTGAAATTATCAAGCTTTGGCATTTCGAGGAGCCTTCAATATCTGCTGAAATCATATCTTAGTGATNTTGTTATGCGGTAAGAATAACTTCCAGAGAATTGGGATCTTCTGTAGCTAAATCTATTTACTATTCACTAGTAGACTCACACTTAAGATATGGAATTCCGTTCTGGGAAGTATGTTCATCTAGAAGGCACATGAATTCTGTGTTTGTACTTCAAAAAAGAGCAACACGTTATCTCTTCAAAATGAAACTACAAAACTCCTGTAAAAGCCTATATTCATCAGAAATCTTTTGACAATTTACGCGATTTTCATAGTAGAAACGGCCTTGGCACCTACTAAAAGCTCAGTAATCTACAATGGCTAAACAATATTCAATCACCTGCCAAACGATGTTAAATGTATAGAAAGCCCCACAGAATTTAGAAATGCAATCAAAGTTTTACTCTCTGATAGACCCTATTATAGTTTGGACCAATTTTATGACGATAACATCCACTATCACTTATACATCGTACCCCAACTCAATGTTAATGTCAAACTAGCATCTGCAATAATTTATATCATTTTCATGTTTTGTATAATTTTTCTCTTGATTTTTTATTCCTATGTCTTATTAGTATATTTTACAACTGTAGACATTTTCTTTATTGTGGCAAACATCTGTTTTTCAGCATATTTTCATTTGTATATGATGTGTGTGTATATAGATATTTTTATAGGTTTTAAATTATATAGACTTAGTATATGCTTGTATACATTTTTATCTTATTCACACACGCTTTGTCAATAAGATTAATTCTTCTGACAATGAAGCTTATTTATTATTATTATTATATCAAAGTCTCTAAAATGATTGACCTCCCATGCCTCCACCTGGGTTGAGTGCTCTGAAGTAGAAGCTTCCCCTCCCCAGCTAGTTAGCGAGGATAACCTAATACCCCAATCCATACACCCCCGCTCTCCGAGCGGTCCTCAACTTACTGATGGGCACTTCAGCTGGATTGACATCAGACCTCTTTTGGTCGAAAGTCAGCCTTTAGGTGCTATTCTTTCGCGATCGGTTAAATGTTTTGTCGTGACTATTCCTAACTGAATTTTTGCATGAGGGCCCCCAAAAACTAACCGGCGGCTCTTGTTATTAGCATCGAGCATTCCTCAGTGGATCTAAGGAGAAGTGAATCGCGGTCGAGTTGTTCTGCGTTGAACCTACCTGAAAGAGAGTTTGTCTGATTTGTTCTATGCTTACATGAGCCGCCTGACGGCGACTCGTGGGGGTGGTCCTTGGTGTTGCTTGGTCGGCCTCGGTTGTTTATCCCTTTTCTCGGAATCTGGGGTCATCCATATTCAATGCATCGTGTAGATCGCGTAACGCTGGGTTGTTGTGCGATCTGATTCTATCGAACACGCTTTCTGCGTGTTCTTTCATATACACGTTCACGTATTGCGGGTCCAGGTCTAGGTCTCTGTGTATAAATCTGTTGGGAATCTAGTACGGTGCGTTTACGGCGGCCCTTACCCTCGCATTCATAAACGACTGTGCAGGCATACAGTATTATGGTCATGAGAACGGTTTTGATCATCAGCAACTTTACTTTCAACCCCATGTTGCCTCTGCGTCCTATGATAGGTGCCAGGCGTTGTCTAGCATGTCTAGCCATTCCGAGTCTTTGCCGTACGTGATACTGAAATGTTAATTTCCTGTCTAAGATGACCCCCAGGTATGTCGCTTTGTTGGTCCACGGAATCTTTTGTCCGTTGAAGATGACGTTGCCTTCTGGTTGTACAAACCTGCGGGTGAACAGTATCGCCCGACTCTTGTTAGGGTTTATACTGATCTTCCACAGGTTGGCCCACTCCTCTAATCTGTCTGCCTGTTGCTGCAAGTACCTCGTGACACGCACTTGGCTCGTGGATCTCGCCAGCAGGGCTGTGTCGTCCGCGTAGAGCGCCAACTTGTTGAAGTTGTTCTCTGGCTTGGGCACGTCCGCTGTGTATACGGAGAAGAGGTGTGGCGCAAGGACTGCTCCTTGCGGGACCCCTTCTTCCAATAGTCGAATTGTAGATAGTTCGTCTCCTACTCTGCATCGGCATCGCCTGTCAGCTAGAAAAGACTGAATTAATCTTACCATTGGTTTTGAATATCCAAAATCGCTCATTTTGGCCAGTAGTCCGTCATGCCAAACTATGTCGAACGCCTTGGCGATGTCTAAGAAGATAGCTCCGGTGTTGTATTCTTTGCCGAGGTTGAAGCCTTCGGTCGCGAAGTCTACTACCCTCAGGACTTGTAGCTCTGTTGAGTGTTCCGATCTAAAACCGAATTGTTTGACGGAAAGGATTCCTAGCTCTCTAGTTTGATCTTCTAGTCTCTTCAAGAAGACGCGCTCCACCACTTCGCTTATGGAAGGCAGTAAGCTTATTGGCCTATGATTATCTAGGAACAGGTGGTTCTTCTTGGGCTTCGGGATGTGGATTACCGTTGCCTCTTTGAACGGGTACGGGAAGTGCTGCAATCTGAGTATAGCGTTTGTGATGTTTGTTATGGCTGCTATACCCTTGCGTGGTGGTACTTTCAGAGCCCGGTTTGTTATGTTGTCCGGGCCTGGTGTTTTCCGAGTGGATAGACGTCTTAGGATGTCTTTCACTTTTTCGGGAGATGTCGGGGCCAGGGGTTGCATGTTGTACGTTGTCTTAGCCTTCATACCGTTCTTTCCACCTGTCTCTCTATTTCGCCTACCTCGTCCGTGAACGGAACGTCGTTCTCTCTGCACTGCCTTTCGAAGTTGTCCGCGAATGCGTCCGCCTTCTCCTGGTCAGCGTAGACGATTCCTTGCTCGCCGTGTATAAGCGGGCATGGCTGTCGAGGTCCGTTTCTGAGTACTTTCTGCATTCTTCATGCAGACTGGTCTTCAGTGTTCAGTTCTTCTATACGGGTAGTCCATTGTCTCTCTCGGATAGCTTTCAATTCTTTTTTCAGTATCCTGTTGGCTCTTTGCATGCACCTTCTGTTCATAGGCGCGCGAGTCTTTTGGTATGGTCTTTTCAGGCATCTTCTTATCCTGATCTTCCATCGTTTCTGGTGGGAGCTGTTTTAGGAAGTTGAAGCGTGGAGCTGGGACTTTCCGTGCGCTTCTTTCCATCGTTTGGATGATCGCCTGTTGCAGCTGGTGTGTGGCGTTCTCCAGATCCGTTCTTGTTTCTATGCGTGGTATCTCACCCATCGCATTGTGTATGGCACGCTGTAATATGAGATACCAGTCGATGACTTGCTTTGTTGGGTTGTCTGTTTCCACTTCACCTCTTCCTATTGTGAATAGAATGGGGTTGTGGTCTAACGAACCTTCGACTAGTACTCCCATCTCCGTAGTTTCGATGTTCTGCACTAGTGCGATGTCGAGAATGTCAGGAACTTGATCTTCCCGCGCGTAGTATGTTTGGGGTGTTCGGTGCTACTACCGCGATGTCCTCAAATTCTTCTAGGATTCTGCCTATTTCTCTGCCTCTCCTATTTCCATACCTACAGTTCCAGTCTCGCGACGACTTTGCATTGAAGTCGCCGTGGTGGTCTGGGAATATTTCTGCCATGTCGGTTCTTTCTAGTCTTATATCTTGCGGAGGCAGGTATACCGACGATATTCTTAGCTGCGCGTAGCGTCTCAGTTTGAATTTGACCGCTACTGCTTCTCCGAGTTGGACTTCGAGTTTTCTATCTTCATTCTGCGTTAGGTCTGTCGTCTATGTCTAGACGCGATAGCAGCTCCAGTAGCTCGTTTCGCCTATTTATGGAACCGTTTATGTTTCATGATCCTACTAATAATCTTTCCGGGACTCGTGCAGGCATTACTGTTGTCCGGGTGCCTGTATTAAGGCAGCTAAGACCATTTGCGCGATCTTCTGCTGCTCAGATAATTGGAACAGCTCGTTTCTTCCGGCTTTCTGCGCCTTCGGTGCTGGTCTTCTTTGGGCTGGTTGCTGACACGGCCTTTGGTTCTCCGCTTGTCGAGGCTTGTTCCAAGTTGTTGGTGCTTGTCTAGGTTTTGGGAACATCCTACATCCTCTGTAGCTGGCTGGGTGCGCTTCTAGACAGTTCGCGCTTCTGGACATTTCGCGCATTTTGCTGGATTCTCCTTTGGTTTTTTGCAGTATCTGCTTTCGTGGTTTTCACCACATTTTACTGAAAATACCTTTTCAACACCAAAACAGAAATACTGTTTTAGGAGAGGTTAATTTTTTTGGAAAGAAAGGTTTCGGCTTTCTACTTCTCCACCGGTTTTAAAAAAAATGTGAGAATTTTACAAAGAAAGGAAGGATTTGACTTTCAAAATAAACTCTTCAGAAAGATGTGTAAATTATACAAACAAGTAACTTTCAGACATGAACTGAAAAGCACTCAGGGTGCTACTATTTTCTTGGAATCCATATTGGTAATTGTCAAAGGCAACACATTTTTTCATGTAATTGATAATACGTTTCTTTAAAATTACTTCTATTACTTTTGACAGAGTCGGAACTACTAAAATAGGTCTATAGTTATCAATAATGTTATTTAGTCCTGACTTGTGTTTAGGTGTTACCTTGCTGACTTTGAGAATATCTGGGAATATACCTTGTTTGAAAGACTCATTTATTAATTTGACTAAAGTAGGTATAATATAATCCCTGAGTGTTAAAAGATCGTTGGTATTTATGTTATCATAACCAGGTGCTGCATTTTTATTCAACTTATATAATTCTTCCTGAACTTCTTGGGAGTTTTATTGTATATGTACATTGAACAATCACTTATGATTTCCTCAAACTCAGTAGATGGCGCTGTTTGTAGGTTTACACTATTCATTATTGATTTACCAATATTAACGAAATATTTGTTCATTTTATCAGCTATATTTTTGGGATTATCAAGAATTTATATCTCAATTTCCAAATTAGTTATTTGATTACTTTGGTTATTGCCTTTAATAAGATTATTGATGAGTTTCCATTGCTTTTTCTGGTTAATGTTTGTATTGCCTGTATTGCTCCATTTCTTTTCAAAGTATTCCTGTTTCAGTTTTTTTGCGTTTTTTCTCTACAATATTTTTCTGTATTCGGAAATCCCTGAGTATATCTATCCTGATTAAAAGGATGTTTTATTTTTTCTGAATATAATTTATCACGTTTTTTTATTAATTCTAGAAATTCCCTTGTAATCCAATCCTTACCTTCTTTATATTTTATTTCATATTGAGTTGTTAATTCTTTTTTACAAACCTGTATGGCCGTTGATAGTTTTTCAAAGCTATTTATATCGTGGCTGTTTATCAGCTGTTGGAATTTTTGTTTGGAGTTATTTTGATTTAGTACAGAACGTTTGTGTGATACCTTTCTATTAGTCTGTGGAGATTTGGCGTTAGTTTTAAGTTGTATATATAGGATTTTATGATCAGTTATATGGTTAGAGATTGTTATGTGACAGTCTATGTTTTTGTTTGTTAGCACGTGATCTAGGATAGAGTTGGAATTTGATATTGATCGTGTTGCATAATTCTCTTCAATCACATTACAAATCTTAAACCCATTAAGTGCTATTGTATTTACATAGGTATCAAACTCCGGGGAGGTACTTTTGAGCAGGTCAACATTTATATTGCTTATTAATATTGATTTTGTTTTACATCTATTCAGGATATTCTCCAATTCCCGCAGAAAATCATAGAATATATAGCTAGGTGGTATGTATATCCCAATGATTTTGATTTTATTATCTAAGAGGTTAATGCTTACAAGATTATACATTTTGTTATTACTGACTTCATTAACGTTAAATTTAATTGTGTTTCTGACAAAAATTGAATATCCTCCACCTCGAGTATCTCTACATGAGTGAACTCCTTTGTAGCCTTTTATTAAGAACAGACTTGTTTCATTTGCAAAGTTTCAGGTTTCAGTTATCACCATTATGTCACAGTCCGATTCTTTGGCATAACAGCAGATATCATCATGTTTATTTCGCGCACTTTGAGCGTTCAGGTACATTATTTTTATACTATTCTTGCAGCATTCTCCAATTAGCAGTTTTTTAGGTCATCCTCTCGTGTGATTTTGTTCACTTTGCTGCTTTCGTCTTTGCGGATGAAGATGTTTCCATGAGAATACCATACAAACTTGTAGTTGTTTTCTTTTTTGAATTTTCTTGCCAGCATGAGTAGGTATGGGTTGAACTCAGTCTTCCAAGAAACCCTTTTCTGAATACAGATCACTGGTACAGGTGCATCTTATGACAAGTACTGCATCAAGGCTAGAAGCTTTGTTGAGGTTGAGCTGTTTCAGTATTGTAATGATCACTTTAATTGAGACAAAAGTGTTTTAGGCGTAATAAATCATGAGTTTCAAACCACCCAAGAAAGTTTTCTTGAAAGCATTTCATGCAGTTACGTTGATATCTCACCAGACAGCAATCTACCATTACTAATTTTTCAATGCTTAAAATATTTGCTTTCTACCTCAAAACGAAACAGTTGGCTGACTTTTTTCGCCGTCAATCACTAAACACAGTATTTGGATATTTATGAAAAAGTTACAAGATTCTTGGCCATAATAGTTATCCTATAGATCTCACACATTTGCAACTACAAAGTTAGAACATGCTTGATGTTACATAAGCATACCGACCAAGAATTTATAGCACTTACATATTGTTTTTTTCTTGATTCACAGTATCGACATTTTTTATTTTAAGCTCAAATGAAAGAGAGAAAGAGAATGCTTGGTAAAGCAGCAATAGGTGGAAAGTTTGAATTGGTTGACAGTAACAACAAGGTGAGAACAAGTGAGGAGTTTCTGGGAAATTGGCTGCTGATATATTTTGGATTTACTCATTGCCCAGATATTTGTCCAGACGAATTAGAGAAAATGGCTGCTGTAATTGATAAATTAGGTAAGTTTTGATATTAAATCTTTGAATATATTATCTATGTTAAAGTTTTCTAGCAAAGTAGATATATCTCAAAGGGGAAAAATTAGTTACAAAAAAAAATCTCAAGGTATTTTCAATTCTTTCTTCTTTAAGTGTAAAAATAGCTCCACCCCAATTCTCTGTTTTATTTTAATTTACTCACTTAAACTTTTTTTCAGATGCTTCAGAAGAAATGCCAAAGATTCAACCTCTTTTTATATCTGTTGATCCCAACAGAGACACTCCAGAGGTAGTTGGAAAATATTGTAAGGAATTCAGTCCAAGATTATTAGGACTTACTGGAAATGAAAAACAAGTTGGTGAAGCTTGTAAAGCTTATCGAGTTTATTTCAGTGCAGGACCGAAAGATTCTGATAATGATTACATTGTAAGTAATTCAGAACTACTTGAATGCTTGATAATATTTTCATTTCATTCATTATCAAAAATTCCAACTCAAAAGTGATGAATATACATCAAAATGAGCACTTTCATAAAAACTAGAACTGGAACACTCTTCTCGAAACGCGTTTCACCAACCAAGTTGGAGTCCTCAGTAGATAAGTTCGTTCATAACATTTCATAATATATTCAAACAATAAACATATAAAAGTAAACAATACCCTGTTTAGAATGGAACCTCAGTCGTTGTTCATAGTTTTTATGTCACACTTAGCTATTTCCAAACTCTGAAAAGCATCCAAAAATCTAGTGTCATGTACCGATCTGTACAACTTAAGGCAGTTTTCATTTATTCCATGGCCGTTTTTCAAAGCGTTTTGGTCACACTAGATTTTTCTAGTATCTGATATGTGCTGTGTTCTCTAAAACGAGTTTCAATATGTTGCTCAGTCTAACTGACGTAATTTTGTCACAGTTCTCACAGATTATTTAATATATCCCCGACTTTTCATGTTCCATTTTGAAGCCTACTTTCACGTTCAACTTTTTGAAAATGCGATCTTATCCGTTAGTGTATCTTGGTTCATACAGAAGGACATCAAACTTTGAATTTCTAAAATTTACAAAGATTCTCCATAAATTTACGTTTCGTAATTAATTTTTCCACTATATTTGAAGGATACCGGTTGCTTTTAGGTATGTCCCTGATAATCCTTATTCAAGGGAAACTTGGCAAGCATACGGGCAAAAAATAGTCCCGCCATTTCGTGTTGTACCGAATGTGTGAGCTATGGGGAATATAATATCTGAAAGTGCTGGTATTCTTCCCAGGTATATTCTATAATTTGGTTACTTCTAATCACTAAGATATTAAGAATGGTAACACCTCGTTGTTTTCAATTCAAATCTGCTCTTGAACAAACTAACTAAAAGGGGGCGCAGTGAGTTTCCCATTGCTCCATTTCTTGTTTTTCTCCACAATTGTTAGCTACATAAAAAGTCGGGGATATGAAGACTCCAAGTTGTTTGGTGAAACGCGGGAAGATTATTGCAGTTCTAGTGTTTGGGAACAGTGTTTGTTGTGGATTGATTCTACGCCAGAGATTCTAGTTCTACCTTTCATGATGAATATGCAGCTGGAAAATGAACTTACCACTTTAAATAATATTTCTTTCAGTTTTATATGTATACCATATCATATTGTTTTTTTATATAGGTAGATCATACTATCATCATGTATTTGGTGAATCCAGATGGTGAATTTGTGGATTATTATGGACAAAATAGGTCAGCATCAGAAATATCTACTTCAATAAGAATAAATGTTATCAAATATAATGAAATGAAAAACAGTTGGTTATAATTGTATAAATATTTCCAGATATCTTTTTATTTATATTACCTTCCTTTCTTTGGAAGATTCTCTCATCCATTTTTTTGTATCAGATGGAGTAGTAGAAAGCCAAAAACTTTCTTTCCCAAAAATTAATCACTTCTAAAAATATAACCCTTTCAATTCAAGGAAATATTGATAGTGAAGAAGAAGAAAATAATAAATGACCGAGAGGTCTTGAAGGTTTCATTAATTTAGGGATGTGTAAATTGAAAAATGTTATTATGATTGTGCTTGGACTCATCTTTGCATACCAATCGTCAATAGATTATAGGAATTTGGAAAATTCAAGTTTTTGCATAGAGAAAATTTACTTTCTTTTTTTTCATATTCAAAGTTATCTCCAAAAATAGTGAAGATGTTGCCATTTCACCAGATCTCATTTGATACCCTTTAAAAGTTAATCGTGGAATTATGCCATACTGTAGATATGAGTAAGGCATGTATGACTAGATTATTTCGTCTAAAGAAGGGTTAATTGTGCCAGTCAATGTGTTCAGTGAACTTTGGTATCATATCGGGGACCTGTCAAATTCTCATTAGTGATAGTATTGCAGTTCATATTAATTTTGGATCATTACAAACTGTATTCTTATATGAACCAAATGAAAGGAATATTGATGCTCAATTTTTTCTGTATTTTCTGAAATACAATAAATATGCTTGAATAAGTGTTACAGCTTACACAGTTGAGCCACAATGAAAATCGATGAAATTTGTACTTATGAAGGATCCTGAAAACATTCGTACGATTGATTCCTAATTTTACAGATAACTTAGTAAGAGATTGCGAATTTTCCATTAGTCCAACGCTGCACAACTCCTGCACAGTTATGCTTTTTATTGTTAATAAATCCAGTTTCCATAAATTTGTTCAATAATTCCGAAACGTATTTGTGTCATACATTTCTTCCTGGATGATTATCATTGAACATACGGGCAGCAGCTCTAGCACTATTTTCATTCTGGTGGTACAAACTCACTACTTCAAAGCGTATAAACCATTGCTTCTCAAGAATTCACGAAAACACCAATGGGGAATGTTCCTCAATTTGGGTTATTATAGCAAATGTAAGTTTGAACAAAATAAAGTTGAGTTTAATTATTTTTATTTCATAGTCATGATAGAATTTTGAATCACAGAACACTGAAATTTAAATTGTTTCTGTCTGTATCTGCAATATATGACTTGTTTCGAATTTCCGACATATACATAACCTCATAACACCATGTCTATATTATTTTCTCAAGTAAATAAAAATGTTCTACAAAAGTCCATTCAATTCATGCATTCACCTAAGGTACCTAGCTTAAATTACAAAACAAAATGAAATAGATTTTTCATCTTTCAGACTCTTCCGCAATTTCGTTGTCGTATAAATTGCCGAAAGTATAGTAATAATTCTCCACTACCAAAACCTCCTCCAGGAAAAAATCCATTACCAAATCGGAAATCTTCTCTCGGAAAAGGTATTGGGCCCATAACATGGAAAAATCTTGCCATAACTTCAGTATTAGGAGGAAGTCTGTTAGCATTTATGTTGTATTTAAAAAAAGAAAAAGAAGAAGGTAGGTTTTTGGAACCCTTATGTTGAATAGGTCATATGATTTATTCATGACAATGTTATTAATCAACACATTAACCTTTCAGTATTAGAGCCACATTTCATGAAACCATTAGTTGTGTTGGCCTGTCAGATTGGGTTTCAATAATGTATTCATTTATTTTTATATCCATTTTTAGCAGGACTGTCAGAAAACTATGTTTTCAATATTTTCGTTTTCCTATTCGTTCTCTAATCTCAATATGCATGGTCTTTTTCAGAAAAATCATCTTCATCTCAATACCTATTTACATAAATTATCTGCTAAAAAACTATATATGGCATTAGTCGCCCTGGTCTTATAGACAGGTTTTGGTTATAGTCCCTATATTACAAACACACCATTCGTAAAAGTGGCCTTGAAATGTCATAATGAATAGATAAGAAGGTACTAGTCACAACCCACCACCACCCCTTCATGTTTTCATAAAATCACGAATATACTTCACATGCAGTGTGACCCACTGGTCATAAAATGCCTAATATATGCTGTTGACAGTTTGAAGACAAGTAAAATACATTTTTCATTGATTAAACAACTTTTACTATCTTGAGATGAGATTTATTGGGTTACCACGTTACATTAATAGTTTGGCCGAATAGAAAGAAGATGTTGTAGCCATATTGAGTTAAATTGATACTCAGATGATCATAGAGAACTTGTCAGATTTTTTTATACACATGCACTGCGGGAAAATTCCGCCTGCCTGTGCAAAAGTAGCAATATCAAATGGATTTGAATCACTGTAGATCTTGAAAAGTTTATTTCACAAAATTGCTGTTTTCTGAACGAAAGAGTATTTTGAAGAACGAAGAAATCAGTAAAATATGTCCCAACCTTCCTTGGGGTTGCTTTTAGTGTTTTGGTCTCACAGGCAGATATCTTTTTTCTGGATGGATGGAATCTAGCAGTCTCAAGGTATGTTTAGGAGATCCATATATGTGAACAGTATTCCAAAATTGGCAAGAGTATTTAAAAGTTGCTGAGATGTGCACAACTTTCAAATAATTTTTCAAGTTTCATAAAAGCTGACTTTGCTGTTGCAGTGACTTGTTTGTGCCAAGACATATTGGTATTCAATTTGACTCACAACAAACTAATCAATGCAGTCAGCAGAGTAGTGTTCTCTGACATTACAATATTTTTACTTGGTTTCCGTCACTCCAGCCAAATTCCTCTTCAGATGTTCATCAAGACATAAAACATCTGGTTGCCAAAAATGTTGAATGACATCCGAATGTAAAAAAAGACAAGTGTGCTGTAATCAGCGAAGTAAAATGTTGCATTTGTGGGCATTTTCATCAGAGAGAAATAGTGTTGGAGCTAATATAGTTTTCTATGGTAAAAGATACTTTTGAGTTAAATTCTTTTTAAAAACTGGAGAGCCACAAAGGCAAACTGACAAGCAACAAAGATTAATTATTGAACCCTTATGCCAGACATGATCAAAGGCCTTGGAAAAATCAAGTACAACAGTCAGAGACTCCCAATTCTGAATATGAGTGGAATCTCTAAGAACATAGCCTGTTAATATTTGCTTCCGGAATCTATATTGATTTTAAATATTTGGAAATGCTGTGATAATTATTTTTTTCCATAAAACAACTGGTATATAGTCATTTGGAAGGTTGTTCATGCCATTGGTCTGTTTTTTTTAAGAACTTTATTCAGATATTGCAATCATGGTTACAATAAACATTTTAAATAGTAATTGAGATAGCAGCACTATCCAAAAAAAAGTTATCCAAAACAGCACCAACATTCTGGTCTCGGAAAACTAGCTAAAAACAATATAATAATAGTTTATGCAGTACAACAAAATAATATTATCAAGATTTACTTGAGAATACATAATACAAATGTGAATAAAATAAAAAACTTGATAGTAATAAATACAAAGAATCAAATAGATTTAAGCCATTCCTTCGTTGAGTATGCTAGTATAAAATCTCTTTATTTTTTTCTTAAAGATACTGAAACTAGGGCTATCTGTTATTTCCTTGGGAAGAGAATTATAAGTTTTCATGCATAGTGTAATGGGATTATTTAAGCCAATTTTAGTATGTACAGGTTCTAAAAAGACATCATAATGGGTACGAGTATTATATTCGTGGAGCTGATTAACGAAAGTGAAGTTGGTATTACATTTGACTTGTTCATGTATAACCTTGTATGCAAATTTACCTTGCTCGATTTCTAGAACATCCTGAATAGGCAGTATCTTGGTTACACTGTATAAAGTATCAGCTGAGGATCTGTAATCAAGCCTGAATAACATTTTCACGACTTTGTTTTGAAGTATTTTTACTTTTTTGAATAATGTCTGTTGACATGTACCCATATAGGAAATAAATAGCTGAAAATTGATACGAAATATGCACTGTATATTTGATGGAGTGAAGATAGGCGTAAGTAGGTTCTACAACGATATAGGGCACTAACCATTGGAATTACTTTTTTTTTTACATGGGTGATATGGTTATTCCAGCATAGGTTTCCATCAACTATTAGTCCCAGATATTTGGTATTATGGACTCTCGTTATTTCTTTGCCTCCTATCTCCACTGTGATGCCCTGTTGTTTCATGTTTTTCTGAGAGAAGATTATGAAAGTAGCCTTCTTTAAATTGATCTAAAGTTTATTTTTTGCAAGCCATCTGTGATACCTTTCAAGGTCGGTATTTACTAGTGTTTCGAGTTGTTTCAAGTCTTCACCCTTATATACAAGAACAGTATCATCTGCGAATTTCAAGTATCTACCTATAATGTTAGCAGTTTTCAATGACAGAACATGTAATGTATAGAGTAGGGGTCCAAGGACTGAGCCTTGGGGCACACCTGCTTTGGTAGTTTCAGTTTGGCTTGAAATGCCATCAACCATTGTGAATTGTTTGCGATCTAGAAGGTATGTTTTTAGTAAAAAGAGAGCATTTCCTCTTAGTCCCATTTCTTCAATTTTTTCAAGTAATATAGAGAAATCAACAACATCAAATGCTTTTCGTAGATCAACAAATAGAGCAATAGTGTAGCATTTATCATCCAGTGAAGAAGCAATGTGGTTAATGAAGTCTATAGTTGCACTCAGGGTGCTACTATTTTCTTGGAATCCATATTGGTAATTGTCAAAGGCAACACATTTTTTCATGTAATTGATAATACGTTTCTTTAAGTCGGAGCTACTAAAATAGGTCTATAGTTATCAATAATGTTATTTAGTCCTGACTTGTGTTTAGGTGTTACCTTGCTGACTTTGAGAATATCTGGGAATATCTTGTTTGAAAGATTCATTTATTAATTTGACTAAAGTAGGTATAATATAATCCCTGAGTGTTAAAAGATCGTTAGTATTTATGTTATCACAACCAGGTGCTGCATTTTTATTCAACTTATATAATTCTTCCTGAACTTCTTGGGAGTTTGATTGTATATGTAACTAAAATAGGTATAATATAATCCCTGAGTGTTAAAAGATCGTTAGTATTTATGTTATCATAACCAGATGCTGCATTTTTATTCAACTTATATAATTCTTCCTGAACTTCTTGGGAGTTTGATTGTATAGGTACATTGAACAATCACTTAAGATTTCCTCAAACTCAGTAGATGACGCTGTTTATAGGTTTACACTATTCATTATTGATTTACCAACATTAACGAAATATTTGTTCATTTTTTCAGCTATATTTTTGGGAATATCAAGAATTTGTCCCTCAATTTCCAAATTAGTTATTTAATTACTTTGGTTATTGCCTTTATTAAGATTATTGATGAGTTTCCATTGCTTTTTCTGGTTATTGCCTGTATTGCTCCATTTCTTTTCAAAGTATTCCTGTTTCAGTTTTTTTGCGTTTTTTAACACTTTATAAGGTAAGACCTCGTTAGTCCTTAGCTCGCACAAGTTTCTCAACTTCTAAGGGTTGTCGTTCCTATGGGGGCGACAGCTGATTAACGGAAAAACAGATTTTTAACAGAACAGAACAGATGTGAGAATTACAAACAATACATTTCAATAAAATAAAACAATTACTATGTCGCAATATTTGAATAACTTGTGTGTTGTGTGTGCGTATATATCATTTTCAGGGAAAAAGCTATAAAGGTTGTTAATGATCATACAATTTGAAATTACAAGCACAAAACACGTACTTTTAATGAGGGTGGCCCTGTCAAAAAGGATGTATATGAGGCCCAATCATCACTGTTTGAGTAGTATTGATGTTTGACCAATACGTTCATTTCTATAATTATTGCAAAGTTTTGAAAACAATTTGTTCATGATTGAAAGGGTTCTGAAGGCTATTTTTACATTTATATTGTTGAAAATACTACACAACTTAACTGTCACATCACTAATGTACGGTAAAGAAGCAAACAACATAGGAATTTAACGTGCATTAGTCTCATCTGTAATACTATTAGAATGCAAAGAGTTGCGATCCATTCGAATATTAGAATTGGATTGAACGTCAACGGTAGACTTGTTAAACAAGATCTAATTCAACAGAAAATCAAGATAGGAATCATTGATGAATATGAATAATTGGTATGAAGTATTCAAGTGCTTTAAATAAAAAAGATCGAAAAATTATTTTTTGTCTGATGGTGGCACGACAAGTATTATTTACTGAAATGAATTGAGAAAATGTTTGACCAATATATTTCGAAATATCTCATTTTCCCTTGTGTCATTCCATCCATAGATATGTGTGATTGATCACTTGTTTACTTTATGATAATTCATGATCACTTAAATAAAATGAATAAAAAACACTTTTGTCTAAATATCACTGGTAGATTTTATTTACACGACCGGTTTCGGGTTTGATCCCATTATACGTGTTTTCGACTTTATAATGAGGTCAAACTCGAAACCGGTCATATAAATAAAATCTACCAGTGGTTTTTAGACAAAAGTGTGTTTTATTCATTTCATTTAAGCCATCCATAGATGCTTATTTACTTGAACACATATTCTTAAAATTTCTTTTTTGTATTTTGCACTATTATTTTCAATATATATTGGCGAACGAGAATCAATGATTTTCTGAAATGCTATGAAATATATTATAGAATAGTATACCGTCCGATACCTGCTTGAGAATCATGTTGAACAGACATGTATCATATTACTATGCGATGCAACTGTTGTTTGCATACAATTTTGTATTTTCGAATTTCTTTCATGTTGGTGATTTGCATGGTGTAAATTAAGTTGTAGACTTGGAAGTATGGTCTATTGCGCCTGACCGAAGCAAGAACAAGAAAAAAAATTTAAGAAGAAGAATATGGAATAATTCATAACCTATTTGTTCAGCGTGTTTCGTTTTGTTGTGAGAGTGAACATTTGATTCCATAACAAGTTTATATTTGAAAATGGGAAAAATTAAAGAAGAGCCCAGAGATACCGCTGATATGGATGTTTCTGTGAAAGAAGAACCAGAGTTATCTTATGAAGACAAAATATCTCATTGTAGTGTGATTGCCAAACCAATGGCATCTAAAAAGTTGGCTAAGAAGACCTATAAACTCTTGAAGAAAGGTAATTGTACCCAATAATGATTTAAAAGATGCACTTTAGAAACTATATCTTGATATTTGCTTTGATTTTTTTTTCTGTTATTCTGAAAGAATGCAATTTCTGTAAGTGGAAGTGCGGACATTATTATTACTTCCATGCGAGAGCCCATGTCCATTTCCGCTTTTCATCTCTTACACAAATAATATTAAGTTATTATCATTATTATTATTATCATTATATTTGCTTTTCTCAACAGCTCTCAGCCAGAAGACTCAAGTCAGGGTTGGTCTCAAAGATGTACAGAAACGGATACGTAAAGGAGAGACAGGAATTCTCGTATTGGCTGGAGACATCCATCCCATTGAAATAATGTGTCATCTTCCAATTGTTTGTGAAGAAAAGAATATTCCATATGTGTTTGTTCCAAGTAGGAAAGATTTAGGAGCAGCATTAGGAGTGAAAAGAGGTTGTGTAATGGTGTTGATCAAGCCTCATGAAGACTACAAAGAAAACTTCAATGAACTTAAAGAAGAAGTGAACAGTTTAGGAGTACCTTTATTATAAAATGAAACTTTTGTTATGCACACATTGAACTGATTCTAGAGCTCTTACCTGTTGGCTTTAGGCAATTCTGACACATGAAAAACAAAGCTTGATGAGCAAATGACAAAGAGATACTTCAATGTAAAAGTAGATGTTGCTTTGGTATCAAATGTTTATCGAGTAATTTATAATCTTTCCTCGAAGATCTGGGTTCTAAAAAGGCTAAAAAATATGCTTTAATAATTTTAGTTCGTTGCACCATTATAAAGTTTTTACTAAACCTGTAGAGTCCAGATAACTGTTCATACTGATAGCTCATGCTAGTTTCCCAAAAATTTTCATTAAACATTTTTTTTTGGCTAATTCTTGGCACTTCCCTCAACTTTCAATTAAAAGTCAAGACAAATATAGCTGTGTAAACGCAAGCGAAACACAAGTGAAACCACCTATTGGTGTTGACACCCAAGTCAATTTGCCAAGTTTTTTTATTTTTTGATTTTCATGAAATTATTTTCCAGCAGCTTGACTGCATTAACCTTTCTAGGTTTCATTTATTTTCAAGTAATGGAAAACTTGTTTCATTAAAATAACTTTTTTATGCTCTAAAAGATATTGTTGCTTCACTGCGATTTATTTGTTGTTAATCGAAACTTGTGCGAGCTACGGATTAACAAAGTTTTTACCTTTCTCCAATTTTTTGGAAAAGTTTTTGAGGAAATTAATTGCATTTATTAAAACATATGAAAAAAATTAAAAGGGCAAGTGAATAAAGTTTTTATTGCCGAAAGAGAGTTTCTAAAATAAGAGTAATTGCAACTCCTAAAGAGTACCAAGTTTCAAGTTCATAAAAGTAATTGCACAATATAAACTTTCGAAGAGTCCGTAACTTGTGTTTATTAATTTTACTTAGAGATGAAACGAATAATAAAAAAATGTTTATACTTTCTTTACAATGGTTGACATTTTGAGAAGTAGGGACTTTGAGTTTACAAAACATAATTTTTACTAAAAAATGCCTCAAATTTATTTCATTTCTGGGTAAAATTTATAAATACAAGTTACTAATTACTCTTCAAAGGTTTATGTACTGTATGTGTATATATAATGTATACACAATACTATATGAATATTACTGGAGTTTTTTCCCAACACCAAATCGTTATTCTTAACACCTCGACACGTGTTTTGATCACCAAGTGATCATCTTCAAGAGGAAGATAAAACTGGAAACTTCGCGAAACTAAAGCTATTTATGCTACACAGATATACCATACGTATACCACCCATACAGGTATACCACCCTAAATTAATTTTACAATTAGTCTTATCTATTATTTTACAATATGTCCTTGTGTACTGTTTGAATGTTACAGCTATATATAAAACAAGGTGTTATACCTGTATGGTTTACCTGTATGATATATCTGTGTAGCATAAATAGCTTTAGTTTCGCGAAGTTTCCAGTTTTATCTTCTTTTTGAAGATGGATCACTTGGTGATCGAAACACGTGTCGAGGTGGTAAGATAAAGATTTGGTGTTGGGAAAAACTCCAGTAATATTCATTACTACACCAAAGGTTCTAAACAGTACATCATAAGAACTATATTATATGTGTATACCAGTTGTCACCCTCTTAAAATCTACTACCCTCAGAAATTGAAACTTCTGGGAGATAAGGATTAACATGATCTTACCTTTTAACATGGTATTCCTAATACAGATTACAAGGTGACTTTTCGGTTTGATCTTCATCACACTTGAGCAGATTCTCTGTTGATCTAGATTCATTTATTTTTCAAAATGTGGAAGAGTAAAAACCCAGAAACTATATAGGGAGATTTCATTGTTTCCTTGTTTTACCTACCAAACGTTTACATTGTTAGTATTTTATGTCAGACAAGCCTGAAAGTACAATTGGAATTTTGTGAATAGAATAAACACATTCTCTGTAGCTAGATTTTTATTAAGTAAAGTAATAAAATGAAATTGATTATATATTTTACTATAGACGGACACATGTCGGACTTCTTTTAAATTTCTTACTGAATGCTATAGTAAGTAGAATTTTTTGTTTTGTTTTTTGTTCTTGGTTGCCTTGTAGAGAGTGACTTGAATTTTTATATTAAACGTATATGAATTAAATTTGATGAAAAATGTTTGCTTTTATATGGTACTGCTGAAGTTTGAAATTGAAATTAATGTTTTTCATATCGCCTTACATAAAATACTTGAATTTTTACCATAAACATCACCTCATTCTGACTGTTCTTGTTGACATTAGACATATTTTAATCTGATGAATTTAATACTTAACAACATTCAAAGTTGAAATATTCAAACAACTAAAATACCGCTCTGCATTTCCCCCTCAGTGAAGAAGCTTGTTTTTTTTCATATGCCACAATTTGCTTACTAGGTGAAGGTAAGATAGAAGTTTTTGTTCTCACATGTTCCATTCTTATAACATCCAGAAAACAGCTTCTGTATATTTCCCTTTGTTTGTGAATTCCTGGGTCCTTTATTACTAACAATGTTGACGATATCAATGTTTCAGATTCTATTTTCCTCTTCTTGTTCTTACCCATAGTATAACATTTTAAATTTTTTTAAACGTCAACTAATTGATTGATGGTGATATATTCTCGGATTATTATTCGAATATTTGTATAGTTACTTCAAATAAGAAAATTATGTAAATAATCTAACAGTCAAGAACTCAAATGACATAATCGAAGCGTATTAGTTGTGATTCAGTATTCGTAGAGTTCACTTCTGTTGAAAAGGCATTAAACGTTCATTTTTCTAAATCAAAATGGTTCAGTGTTCTGTTTTAGTGTGTTTTAATACTAGTGCAAACAAAAATAAAGCTTTTTTGGGGTGGAATTTCATAAGTAACTTGATAAAAGTTCATCTGTTTACTTTTAAAATAATGAAAAGTTACAGAATAGTATGAATTGTATTCGCCAATTTGTCTGAAGTTGGCAAGCTAGTTATTATTTATACAGGGTGTTTATTGAACATGCGGCAAAAAATTAAGGGACTATTCCTTGGACTATTCTAAGGATATTTTGTCCTTTGATGATTTTTCATAGGGCGATTTATTTCGAAGATACGGGGCGAAGAAGAATTTCGGCAATAACTATTTTGGTAATTTTAAGTTTATTAACGTAGCCGAAAGAAAAGTAAAGCGTACTACACTGGACCTACAACAATATTCCGATTACTACAAACGGCTGCAGACATTCAATTTGCTGATGGGTGCTGGGATTCAATTCAAACGATCCTGATGTTTTTGGAAGAGTTCGAGAGTCGTTGAGGAGAAGATTGGGTTCTTGCATCCGAGCGAGGGGTAGTCATTTTCAACAGTTCCTGTAGATTAAAGAATATTACAGTTAATTTTTGTTAATAAACTGTTATTGCCAAAATTCTTTTTCGATTCGTATCTTCGAAACGAAGCGGCCTATCAAAAAACAAAATATCCAAGGAATAGTCCCTTAAATTTTTGCCGCATGTTCAATAAACACCCTGTATAGCGAAATTTGTAGTAAAACGTTTCTCAAAACTTTTACATTGTCATCAGTGCATTGATAGCTAGTTTTTTAATGAAACCAACTCGTATGTTTTAATATGGGTTAAGGATAAGGGCAATTTAATCCCTCTGAGTGTTGTTCAAATTTGCGAATTATGCAAAAAATAATCAATTATTCCTTATGTGGGTATACAGGGTACATTATTTACAAAAAATAACTCAAACCTTGTCTTAGTAAACCAGAAAGTAGTCCAATATCACTTCGAACTCAACAGAGGCCACACAATAAGAAATTTGGTTAATAATGCCTGAAATAACGCGGACTACTGTTAAGAACCTAATAACTTTACTAATAGACAACCAGGAAGAGAAAATGTTTCTCAGATTGGATCATACAGTGATCGAACTAACATAAATATATGTGTCACCAATTACTGCTTGAAGGAATTCACATTGGACTAATCGTTATGTTATTTTTCAAGCAAAAGCTTCAGCAGTGTATCAAACGAACAGAGACCGCTTGATTGATGTGACTTGTAGTGTACGATCAAAGGTCTCTGCCCACTTTACCAAATCATGCCGTAAACGTACCGGCACAAGCTAAAAAATATTCTTTCATACGATTTATATGAACCAACGCCCACTAGACCGTTCCTTCACCAGTCCGGCACGTAGCGTAGCATGCATGACAGTATTCGAGTCGAGAATATTTTGCCGGTGCTGATACGTAACGTGCATGGTACGTGACGTTGCTAAACCGTAGGTCAACGGCAGTGGAACGGTGTATTAACGGGTAGTGAACATTTTCAATTTATTCAGCAATACATTCCACAGAAATGCAGACATTCGAAGATAATCTCATAGCCATATTCGTTCTTCGTGGTAAACTCTTCTACACGTTCACACTACACCAAGGGTGGCCAACCTTGGGCCAAAATTCGAAAGTAGAATTTTACGCTGGGCCGCACTACCAAATTTTATGTATAGTGCGCGCCATATAAGTCTGCGCACAGTCAAAATCATATACTAATTTTTCCTATTAGAACTTAGAGCTTAGAAGAAAAAAATGTACTGTAACTAGCAAAGAAAACACCCCAGTCACGCGCAGAGTTATCTGACAGTTGGGATAAACAATACCTACACCATACTAATACCTAATACACTCGTTGACACGTATTGTATGCGTTGCGAGCTTACTGTGAACTGAACTGACCGAACGCTAGCGACGTGCTCGGGGGCGGGTGGAGGCATGGCGCCCGCCCGCCCGCCGGCGTCCTCACCGCAAAAAGTAGGTAAGTTTGCGCGGCTAGCGGGCGCTCAGTACGTTATTTTAAAGTCAGCTCCACTTTTTGTAAATAAAGCATGTGTTGATTTTAAACGTAAAAGAGAAGTGTTTGTTTGCTTTTTATAGTAGGTATGATAAGGTAATTTTAGTAATCATTTTTTCTACTTTAAAAAAATGTGTTCGGCTCCGCGGGCCACATGGTAACAGACGGCGGGCCGTAGGTTGGCAACCCTTGCACTACACTGATGAGTAAGCCGGAAAAACACAATACTTCACATTACCTACAGTTGTCAAACGGGTATCTAACGGTAATCATATCCGTATGATACGGTCATTATACGTGTTGCTTACGGGGAACACGGTTGATCCATTACAGTGGGCAAGGTAGACCGTGTCGTGTTATTTTCCGCGTCTGATACTGTCCTAGCACGGCACGACCTTAAAGGTATCTGCCCACTATATACCGTTTCAACCATAGCCGTGCTAGGACAGTATCAGAAACGGAAAATAAGACGATTCGGTTTACCTTGCCCACTGTAAAGTCTCAACCGTGTTCTGAGCCCGTAAGCAACACGTATAATGACCGTATCATACGGATATCATTACCGCTAGATACCCGTTTGACAACTGTAGGTAATGTGAAGTATTGTATGTTATTTCGGCTTATTCATCAGCGTAGTGTAAACGTAAAGAAGAATTTACCATGAAGAACGAATATGGCTATGAGATTATCTACATTTCAATGGAATGTATTGCCAAATAAAATTGAAAATGATTTATACACCGTTTCGCTGCCGGATACCTACGGTTTAGCAACGTCATGTACCATGCACGTTGCTTATCAGCACCGGAAAAATATTCTTGACTCGAATCCTGTCATGGCACGTGCATGCTACGCTACTTGCCGGATCGGTGACGGAACGGTCTAGTGAAATAATATGAAAGAATATTTTTTAGCATGTGCCGGTACGTTTACGGTCATGGATTGGTTCGGTATAGCGGTCTCTGCGTAGGTAATGTGAAGTATTATATTTTATTCCGGCTTACTCATCAGTGTAGTGTGAAGGTTTAGAAGTTTACCACGAAGAACGAATATGACTATGAGATTATCTGCTCGACAATTGGCATTGGTTGCTATTATATTTTGGACGATGAAGAAGCAGAAACTCAAAAAAAGACCCTACACTATTGGATTCACGACTCTTCAAGAGAACGAGAAAGTGAAAGAGAATATTGGACATTATTTAGACATTAAGTTGATGACGAGGAATCTTTTTTCAGGATTTTCGAATGTCTATATTTCAATGGAATGCATTGCTGAATAAAATTGAAAATGATTTACAACCCGTTTATTCACCGTTTCGCTGCCGGAAACCTACGGTTTAGCAACGTCACGTACCATGCACGTTGCGTATCAGCACCAGCAAAATATTCTCGACTCGAATACTGTGATGGTACGTGCAAGCTACGCTACATGCCGGATCGGTGACGGAACGGTCTAGTGCGCGTTGGTTCATATAAATTGTACGAAAGAATATTTTTCAGCATGTCCCGGTACCTTTACGGTCATAGTTTGGTACGCTATAGCGGGCAGAGACCTTAATGAGTTCAGAATCGTCAAGGTGTTATCAACGAGTAGTTGTCATGTTAAGTTTTTTGACCACAATTTATTTTATTGTCTTCACACCAGAATCGAAATAATACCTGTTAGGCATGGGATTAAAGTCGTCAGATTAATGGAGATACTTTATGTTTGTCTCTAAGTTGTTGTTTATTATTCAGTTGTTATAATTTTGAAATATTGCCAAGTTGTAAATAAAAATTTGTCTTCGTGACTACAAATTCTTCATAACGAACTGAAATACAACAGAAAACCGGCCAAGACCTGAGGATATCTAAAGAGACCTATTGAGGATATCTAAAGCACTTCGTTCGTTGCCATAACGCTTTTGATGTCTACCACAGTCGTAGACGAAATGCCAGGCATAAAAAACTATCGACCACGGCCAACTAAGCCAGCAAATGGCATACTCAATCTATCGATCATTTTGGGAATTCACTGGATACAACAAATACGAAAAAATTATTTATTACAAATGTTTATTAGAATAGCAAATTATTGCACACGTACATGATTGTTGAGTAGGTTAAATGTTTTTGGTAATACGTAATCATTACCTTCCTATGAAATAAATATAAACGTAAAAATTATATCTGTCGTTTTAACAACAAAATCAAATTATTTTGATTTGCTATGACCCGTTCAACAAAGGGGACAAATATTGATATGTTTCAACTCATAACTTATATCTCTAAACTTGACAAAATACAGTCTACAAATTCACAACCTTTCGTTAAAATTATCTGCATTCATTGATTTATGTTTACCTGACTATACTTGAATATTTTTTGAGGAACTCAAGACTTGTCAATAACCTCAAAAAGAAGTCCTTACGAGGGCAATGCACTCGCCCTCGTAAGGACTATTTGGTTTCCATACTAGTCATTCAATTCTGATGATACTTTCCACTCTATACGAAAAAGTTAATGAAAAATAATTGGTTGAACGAACGCCAACATAAAATTCCGATGTTTCAAAAAAAAGGGACATAACCCTTGTCTGACATTGTGGCGAAAGGATAACTCCAATGACAATCTTCCCACACACACACCCAACCCATGTCTGATTTTATTTTGAAGGCATTGCGACGATATTGAACATTAAACGTTGATGAAATATTCACCAATTTCAAGTTTAATGTGTTCATCCATAAAACATAATTTTCATGAATTGAAAAACATTTTGTTATGGAATTAATTCTTGAGATCTCTTCTCACATAAACAAAACCTGAAAATATGGAAAAAACGAAAGATGTATCCACAGTGTACCTTATTCATGTGACAGACGTTACACCTGTGGAATATTTCGGGATCCTTAGATTTTCTGTGATATTGAAGATGAAACTATACATGTGAACTGAGTTACCTGACAACATTCTATGTACTTGTAATATCGATGTGTTTTCTGCTGGTAATTTCTATTCCTCTGATGTGTGTCAAAATGAAAACAAAAATTTTCTAGCTGAGACTACTTTGGCTTCCACAAACTTCCAAATATTTCAGATATCTTTAGGCTAAATGTATTTCCGATTTGGAATATCAAGGAAATGAAAAATTTTTCACATAGTCAACAAAATATTGAATCAGTCTGAATGAACTCGTATATAATGGGCCATTTAATAAAGAAAAAAAAATCTCATTCCACCCCTGTCATCAGTTTACACCCGAACAGATCTATTTAAAAAAGTGTAAGCAAAATAATTTTTCTTCTGTTTTTGTTTCATATAGTTTTTTACGTAAGATTTATCTTTTCATAAAAAAAAATCAAACTCAAACGACAACTATATTTCTTTTGTTGATTCTTATAAATTTTGAATATTCTCTACTTTCTTTGGTTTGTGTTCAGAGGAGTTTTCGGGCGTTTCTCGACGAGTTTTTGATTGTGCAGAAACTCAAGAAAACCCGTTCGTCTGGGAAGTTATTGGTTATACGAG